AACTGCCCCTAAGACAAAGGACTTCTGTCTAAAACATATAATTTTAAAAAATCAGACCCCCAAAAGTTAAAGGCCCAATCCAAAAATGGGCATCTGAAAAAAATACACAATTTTCAGATGAAGAAATACAAATGACAAATTAAATACATGAAAAAATGTTCATCATCATTAGTCATTAGAGAAATGCAAATTAAAACCACACTGAGATACCATCTCACTCCTGAAAGAATGGCCAAGATCAAGAAACCCAACAACAACAAATGCTGGAGAGGCTGCGGGGGGAAAAAGGAACTCTCCTGCCCTCTGGTGGGAGTGTAGACTGGTCAAACCATTGTGGAGGTCAGTTTGGAGATTTCTCAGAAAGCTGGGAATGGAAGCGCCATTTGACCCAGCTATTCCACTTCTAGGCATATTCCCAGAAGAACTGAAAGCATCATACCAAAGTGATATATGTGCTCCCATTTTTATAGCAGCACAATTTGTAGTAGTCAGATCTTGGAAACAACCCAAGTGTCCATCAATTGAGGAATGGATAAAAAAGTTGTGGTATTTTTATACAATGGAGTACTATTCAGCTATAAAGAATGATCACATTGAGATATTTATAAATAAATGGATGCAGCTTGAGACCATACTCATAAGTGAGATAAATCAAATTCACATGTATAAATACCGAATAGTTTCCCTAGTATAAGAAATGATAAGAATACATAAAAGTATGTGGTAATCATGATTCCCAATCATATTAGCTTGAAGCCATATAATGTTTTCACTCATTAATTGGAATGGTTTTAATCTGGGTTGTTTGATTTTATTGTCTGTGATAGCAGGAATAGAAATTTTAAAGAAAACAAGACTTCATAATAGCTAGTGCTAATTTAATATCATCTTGTCTTGAAGTTCCATCAAGCTGTTGTTCGTCGGTTTCCATGGATTTTAACATGGTGTATCTTATTATATTTTACTATATGTGATAGTATAAACTAAATATTTTATAGGCAAAGAGATAATATAGAAACTGATGTTCATTTTCTGTTAGCTGGTTCTAAATATCCTGTAATTCTTACAGTCTCTTGAATGGCTTCACATTGTCTTAATATGTTTGATGCTATAGTATACGAATTTATACTCAAATAATTCAAGGAAAGGGACACTGTGGTGACTACCACAGGTTATCTGGTGGTGAAACACAATGATGCTTAAATTGTTTGGTTCTGATCTGTGTTGTTCTGTTACTATGTCCTCTTTTATATGAAAATCCCACTTTTTAAAATTAATTTATTTTTCTTATTTTTTAATTAAGGGAAAACTAAATTTAAAAATAGCGGGATATATTACAGGTACTTTTTTGTTTTCCTGTTAACCTGATTTGAATCCCAGTATTGTTCTCCCCATCTTGTTCTATCAGATTTTACTAAATTCTGTTTTGTTTGATAGTATCAAGTTTGAGGGTAGAGGCAACCACTTTGAAGGCAATAAGATTTACTAGAATGCCCTTTATGGTTTGACTATTATCCTCTTTTGAAGTCCTGTAAGGTCTCCAGTGTAGGTTTTATTGGTCTTGTTCTGTACTGTTTTATTCAATTCTATTATACCTGATGATATGGGCAACTCTTTTCAAGATAGCAAGAGGCATAATGGTAATCATTTCTGATCACCTGGTATTCTATTTTTGCATCATATACTATGTCCATCCTTCTGTTCTGACTCTATTTTGTTTTATCACATTTGGTTTTATTCTCTTCAAAAAAAAGTAATAAGAACTATGGATGAAATAAAGCCCAAAAAGTGTAATTGTGACTGTAAAAAAGAGAGGAAGAGAAAGTGGCCTAATGGGTATAACTGTGTGTATATTTAAGTGTGTAGAGTAGAAAACCATATTAATGAGTTTTTGTTGGACCATTGAACAGAACTGGCTCCAATTTCACTGTACGAATGTCCACTTTGTATGCTTTAATTTTGTAATTTGGACAACTGTTTCTAAGATGACAACATGTAATCTGTTAACTAGTGATTTCTTACTGTATATTTTTTTTCTTGAAATTCTGTACTACTGCTTTTTTTTCTCTCTTTAGATAAAAAAAGAATCAAACCCTACTTTTAATAATTAATCCTATAAGAGTCATCCTTATTGATAACTGGGCTATATAGCATTAAGAAAAATGAAAATAATTACATTATTCAAAGACATCACATAATATGCTCATAACCTTGTTTATTAGATCTGCAATAAACATTTAATGAATCCATGCATTAAATTATTTTATTATTACATGTTTACAGGATATAATGATTATATCCCTCGTGTGGAGTTGGTATGTGTACATAATATGTCTTACTTTTTATCATCCTCTTCCACTCCCCTCTTTTTTTCCTCACTCCATCTCATGATCCCTTTACCATCTGATAAATCCGTCTCTCTCTCTACTTCCTTTTAGCTATCTCTTCTTTGTATTTTGTGTTTCCTAGGTTAAAAAAAAAACATGTAATATTTAAGCTCGGGTGTCTGATTTACTTCATTTAATATTAAAGTCTCAAGGTACATCCAATTTCCTATATATGACTCCAGTTTCAAAAATTGTGTTTTCTTTATCCATTCATCTATTAATGGACATACACATGGCTACCAAGATTTAATTTGTGAGCTGTGCTTCTACAAATATGGATATGCACATGTCACTGTAATACGATATCTTTACCTCTTGAGTTGATATCTAGAAGAGTAATAGTGGGATCAAATGGAATACCTAGTTTAATTTTTTGATAAATCTACATATTTATTTCCATTGTGGTTATACCATTTTACATTCCCACCAACAATGTCAAAGAATTTCTTTTGCTCTACAGCCTTACCAGCATTTGTTATTAAATGATTTCTTGATGATAGTTATTCTTAAGTCGGACTCTCAATACTATTTCAATTTGCATTTCCCTAATGGCCAAGTGATGAACATCTGTTCATGTGTTTCTTGCCCATTTGTAGTTCTTGTGTGCATTCATTTCAAATGCCCATTTTTTGATTAGATCTTTCATTGATAGGTTCTAAGTTTTTGAGTTTTTGTATATTCTAGATCTAGTTATTTGTCTGAGGAATGGCAGACAAATTTTTCCCATTTCTGGGTTGTTTTCTCACTGTTTTTTTTTTAAAGAAGAAACTTTAAATTTGATATCATCTCATTTGTTTGTTCTTGGTAGTATATATAGTGTGCAATTGTAGCTCTGGTCAGAAAGTCCTTGTCTATATCTAGACTTCAGTTTTACATATTTTGTCTTCCAGCAGATTGTCTAACATTTAGATTTGATTTATTTTTAGTTTAGTACATGGTAAGAGACATAGGTTTAGCGTCAACCTCCTATATGTGGATAATCAGTTTTACTAGCACTAATAAAGGGGCTATTTGTCCTCCAGTGTATGTTTCTGGCACCTTTGTTAAAGATCAAACACTTTCATATGCCTGGGATTGTTTCTGCATCCTCTCTTCTGCTCCATTCATCCTTATGTTTGTTTCTGTGTCAGTACTATACTGTTTTTATCACTATAGTATTATATTATAACCTCAAATCCAGGATTATGATACCTTCTCCATATATATATATATATATATATATATATATATATATATATATGATTGCTTAAGCTATTCTAGATGTCTTGTGGCTCCATATAAATTTTAGAACTTTTTTCTTCCAGTTCTATGAAAATGCTGTTTGCATTGTGATTGGGATCTTATTAAATCTGCATCTCACTTTTGAAAGTATGGCCATTTTGACTGTACTACCTTGTAAAGTGTTATGGTTTGTGTCTAGATGTCCCCAGTACCTCATCTACATACAGGAAGATATCATAGGTGGCTGAATCTAGAGAGTGTGATGCTAGTATAAGGGTGGTGATTAGTAAGTCAGTCTCCTGATTGATTTGGAATAGTTCTGGCTAGGATTAGGGATCTGACCACCATAGCCACTACAGGGCAGGTAGTCTGCATACAATATAAAGATTATAAAGAATCTTGTCTGCCTCCAGAATAATGCTTTTGCTACCCTGTGGACACTATGAACTATACACTGCAGTGCTCATCTTCCAAACCACCATAATTTGCAGCCAGTCAGTTATCAACTGAAACCTTTAAAAATTGTGAGCTAAGTAAATCTTACCCCTTTAACTTTGGGTATTATTTTGTCTAAGTAATCAAAAAAAAAAAAAAAACTAAGGCATAAATCTATATGCCAAAAAATTGGACAACTCAAAATAAATGGACAGATTCCAAGATAGATGCCTATGAATTACCAGAAGTGAGCCCAAAATATATAAAAGCCTTGAATAATCCAGTAATGGACAATAAAACTGAGGCAGGAAGAAAAAAAAACCCTACCAACTAATAAATGTCCACATATGGACAGACTTTCTGCTGAATTCTGTAAGAGCTTCAAGGATCATCTTAACACCAGCACTCTTCAAGCTCTTTAATAAAATTGAAAAGGAAGGAGTTATCTCAAAGTTGTTCCTAGAAGCTCACATTACCTTGATTCAAAAAGCAGACAAAGATTTAAGCAGAGAAGAAAATTATACATTGGCCCATGTCTTTAATGAGAAGAGAGGCTAAAATCTCAATAAGATACTGGGCAAACAGAGTACAATAAATCGTGAAAAATCACACATTATGATCCAATAGGCTTCATCGTAGGTATGCAAGAATGGTTCAGTATAAGCAGGGCATCATATAAACAGAGGTAAGGACAAACATTGCTTAATGATCTCAATAGATGCATAAAAATCATTTGACAAAATATCTAATAACCATTAATGATAAAAACCAATGAAGAAAATAGCTATAGAAGAACTTTATCTCAATCTAGTAAAATCCATTCATGACTGATCTACTGCCAACATCATATTAATTTAGAAAAATCTGAAAACTTTCCCTCTAAAATCAAAATCAAGACGTTCATCTCCACTATCACACTTCTGTTCAACATAGAACTCAAAATATTACAAAAAGCAATTAGAAAACAAAAAGAAATAATAAAGTTTATTTATAGAAATGGAAGAACTCAAATTATGATTCTTTGCAGCTGATATCATTGAAAGGGAAGAACTCAAATTATCATTCTTTGCAGCTGACATCATTCTCTACATAAAAGACTCAAATATTCCATCAAAAAACTCCTAGAATTAACGCCATTTCAGCCATGTATCAGGATGCAAAAATCAATAGCATTCTCATATATCAATAACTGACTGGAGAAAATAATACCATTCACAGCAATACAAATGAAAACTAAGTATTTATAGAATAACCCAAGGAAGGAAAAGGACTTTCTCTAACCAAAACTATACTACTATAAAAGGGAGATTGAAGAGGGCATCAGGAAATTAAAAGACATTATTCTTCCTGAGAAGCAGAACCAATGTAGTCAAGAGAGCCATATTTCATTCCCCCCCCCAATAATTATACACTCAATTTCCATGTCCTTCTTGCTTAGATTCTCTTCCACACTCTGGTTACTGAATTTTTCCAAATTCATTCACTGTGTCCTCTGTAATTCACAGCCGCCATCGCCAAAACCCCACATATCTTCAAACTCACAATGGTTTCTTCACCATTTCACGTAATGAAGAATCTGTTTCCTCTGAAACATGCTGATGCAGTGATTGTCCACATTCTCATGAATCTCTAGATGTAGGACAAGGCCTTGCTGCTTATTTCAGCTTTCAAACTCTTCTTCCCACCCCATTGCCTCCTCCAAAGAAGCCGCATATTGCACCTCATCAGAGTGTAATAGTTTGCTTCACTGCTGCTGACATATGAATGACAACTCTTTCCCAATGATCTTAATCCCCTTTCATAGTTAACACTACTCCTCCTTGCCTTGAATTTTGTTATTTTTAATACGCCCAGCCAAGGAGCCTCAGATTTTATGTACCTGAAACTTATCTATTTATTTAAATCCCAAGTCTATTTAGTCTTTCTAATCTCAGTTGCTTTTTAAAAATAGAACATACCTAATCATTTGGGAAATCCTATTAATCCAAAAAATGTGTGGGGGAAGCACATGTTTTAATTAGCTTGCTTCTGTATGCTTTAGTTTGAATCTTCAATGACCCTCAAATGCTGGTATGTTAAATGCTGGATCCTCAGCTTGTTTCTTTAAGAGGTGAGACCTGGTAGGAAGAACTGATATCCTTGGGGTTCTGTCTTTTGATAGAATATTGTGAAACTGGCTGGTTCTCGCTCTCTTGCTCTCTGCCTGCTTCACAGCTGCAGTGAAGTGTGCAGCTTTCTTTTCCTTTGCTCCAGCCTTGGTGTGCAGTGTTGGCACAGGCCCAAACCCAAAAGATCAAATGCCAGGACTGAAGCCTCCAGAAATTGTTAAGTCAAAGTAATTTTTTTCACTACTTAAGAATATTTATCTCGGTGTTTCTTACATAACTGAATGCTAACTAGCACACTGTCCAGCTACAAACTTGTACTCCCTGAACTTGCAGCTCAAACTCTGCCACCTACAGTGCAAGCTCCAGAAGGTGCTTTGGAAATTATACCTTCCCAGGGGACTCAGGACTATCCCTGTGGACACTCTCTCTGTATAGTGCATGTAAAATCCTGTAGTATATTAACTCTACTCTTCCTAGTGCTCCTTCATACATTTTCTTCACTATTAAGAATTTTGATATACTGACTTTCATTTTAGAGGGAATAATAAGAGCAGACTAACAGAAATATATCTTACATCCTTTTGTCTTAAACTTCAGCCATTCTATATGGTCTATAAGCCTTCCTGTAGCTCTAAAAACTTTTCTTTGTATCCATGAAATATCAAATGATGATACAGGAAAATTTAGCTTTTAACATGTATTTTGAGTTTAATTAACCTCAGTTTGATAACAGAAAATAGTTTTAAAAAGTTTTATTCTCTAGGATGATTTTTGGAAGTTAGTGTTTGTGGTTTAATTTAAGACACAATGGATAGCATGAACATTGGTCTAAAGAGCTGTCTGTTTCTGGGAAAGTGGTCGTTTGATGATATCTAATCCTAAAAATGGCCTTTAAAGACATTATTTTGTTGTCCTATTATCTTTCGATTCAGATATTTATGTTTAAAAAAATGAGAAATTTAAGTTGCTAAAGAAGTCCAACCATCTTTGATACAATATTTTAATAACCTGGTTACATTTGTCAGTATTTTGGACAAAATGAGGAAATGTAAGTAATTAAGTAACAAAGGAAAGAACTTAAAATTTAAAACAAAAGATAAAATATTAATCAGTAATCTATTTTCAGAGTGATGCCTAGAATAAATAAGAACACAAGAACAATTCCTAAGTAGATTAAGAAAATGTAGTCCTTGTTCACATGGTTTGAGCTGAATATTTCAGTGTTCATATAAGCAGAATGACATTTCAGCTTGTGAATAACTCCAGGAACCCTAACACCAATCCATAAGATTAAGTGGATTTTTCAGACTAGAAATCAGTTAGAACTACTTAGAAAAAGCGATGTGGAAAACATACCCTTTCTTTGATGAGCTAAAATAGAAGTTGTTATTTTAAAATAAAAATATTACTAGTCTAAAGTCCATTTAAATGTTGGTCATGGCTGTCCTAGGAAAATCAAGTAGCATCATGACAATTTCATAATATTACATTTCATAATATAAAAATATCCAAAGGTAATATTAAAGGGTCTTAAAGACAAGAAAAGTTATTTGCAGTGCCTCTAATGATTTTAAAATAATTAAATTGTACAATGTTTTCCCCAACTCTGGGAAGGCTGATAGAACCAGGCACTATAGTTTAGTTTTCAGTTCTCCATCATTTGGGATCTTGGAGTTTTGAGGTTCATCTTTGCTCCCATTTGTCTTTTCTGTAACCTTTGTGTCTGCAAGCTCAGTTCCTGCAGAGTCATTTTCACCAGGCAGACGACGTTTCCTCAGAAGAATCAGGGTTAAAAAGGCTGGGAAAAAGCTTAATCCTCTTATTCCTGCAGGCAAGCCAAGGTAGATTCGCCTATTTAAGACAGTATTAAAACATGTTAAATCTTACACACACGACGTGGTCAGTGAAAACTAATTTTGTAATTTTTATGAATACTTTATTACCTTAAGAAAAATAGCAGCTATTATTTTGCTTGTCAATCTTTTATAAGTAAATTCGCTGACTTAATTTCAATATTTGTCACAATGTGTTTTTAACTTTCCACCAGAAAGTCCAAGTTTATTTTCTTTACTAGTAGTCATTTTTTACTATTTTTATACTGAATAGAACTTCCAATTGAAACATAATGCTGACAATAACAGTAGCTTTTAAACTGCTATAATAAAATATTGATTCCAATGAATCATCACTATAATATAAAAACTTTGTGGAATTTTCTGTTCTGAGTTTAATAGTGAATGTACAAAATATCAAATCACTATTCTACACAGAGAAGCAAACAATATTTTTTCCAAATTTATATTTATAAACTGTTACTTCAATAGGTTTTTCAGATGTATAACCGATCTTGCATGGTTGAAAAAAAAAAAACTCATTAGCCACTCTTATACTGTTATATATGGTGGATTTAATTTGTTAATTTTCAAGCAAAATTCTTACATGTATATTTATGAAATTAGTTTGAATTTTGTTCTTTGTGCTGAACTTATCCAGACTTAACACTAAGATTTTATTAGCTTTATAAAAGGAATTGGGAAATCATCCCTTTTTTCTCTTTCTTAGAATAACTCACATAATGTTGAAATTATTGGTTTGTTACACATTTGATAAAATTTGCCTTAAACTATTTGGACTTGGTACCTTTGGAAAGCACATAAGTTTTAAAGATTTGTATTTCTAAAACAGCTTTGAAAATACATATATACTTTTGTATATTTATTGTAAAATTTGGTCTTTTATTTTGGACATTCTTTTGTATATTTCCAAATTCTTATATCTGAAACCTCTAAGTATCTGTACTGGTATCCTTTTATTAGTCTTAGTGTTTTTTGTGCTTACTTTCTTTATTTGCTTTTCCAGATTATTGTTACTATTAGGTTCTCATCTTTCCAAAAACATAGAATTTTTATTTTTTGACTGCTGATATGATGAATAAAATCATGTATTAATTCCTTATTTTCATCTTTCTACATCTACAGTTTTTCAGAGTATGAAGTATACCAGTGACCTGATAAAGGCCTCACTATAGCCCATTATGTCCTCGTTTTGAATAATTCCATTTGTCAGGACTCTGTCTCCAAATAACTTAATATTCTGAAGTTCGAGAGAAGTCATTTTGAAGCACATTACGTGAGCTGATACAAAGTTTTCTACCTTATCATTTTGATTACACCATGAAATCTGGACCTAGTTTTCACTCCTTGGAAGTACTTTATTATCTCTTTGGAAACCAATATCCCAGAATTCCCTGTTCATTTCTAGACTTAGAGCCTCTATCATCAGTCTTTGAATTCAGTTCTGTTTACTCTTTCACGTTCTTGTTTAATTTTCAGTTTGGGACCTGATGTCCAGAGTGATATTTAGATTGTCTTTGAACCTAGCTATCACCCTTTGGCATTTTAAAGACATTGTATCTATTATTTCTAGTTGGGACAGGAAACACATTAGCATTTAATTAAATAATTATTCATGAAGTTCTATTTTATCTGTTCTTATTTTGTCATACTTTGTATAGATTCTGGGTTCATTAATATTTAGTCATTTAAAAATGTATGAACCTGAATTCCTCTTGAGTTCTGATTAGTTTCAAGTTTTTTACTTAGTGCTTTTATTGTCATACAGTTCTATTTATTCAATTATTAGTCTCATTATAGTTTATTTTTTCCCATAAGTAATTTAAGATTATGTTATTTCAATTTCTGAATATTTAGGGTTTTGACATCCTTTTCCATTCCAATTCTAATTTCATTGCATTTGAGCAGAAAACTTAATTTATATGTTGTCAAAATTTTGATTTTTTAAAAGTTTTTCTTCGTGGCATAGGACCTAGTAGCTGTTGTAAATGTTTAATATAGGCTTCAGGAGAATATATGTTTTGTTTGTTTAGCAAATATCTACATCTGTTAAATTATCATATCATTTGATAATTCAAATCTTCTGCATCCTAATTTAGTATGAATTTTTAATGTTGACTGATATGCATATGCTGAACTACCCCCACACGCCTGGAATGCAATTAATTCATTATTATGTATAATCTTTATGGCATAGTTTTGAATTTTACTTTTTATTATTTTGCTCAGAATTTTTACATCTGTGGTCATCAGAGATATTGGACTAAGATAGCTGACTGGGGCCACTCTGAGAGAAGAACTCTTGGGCTGCATATAAATATATAAAATATAGTTAACACATATATAATGTAACTATAATGTATACTTACATATTACATAATTTAAAATGTATAGAAAGTATTTTTTATTTTAATATTTGTTATTAAAGATTTTTTTAAAGGGCAGGAGTCCTGCCATCTGCAGGTTGCACATAAAATACCAGGGCTAGCATGTGCGTGCGTGTGTGTATGTGCACGTACGTGCACAGGCGTGTGTGTTTTAATGTGTCTTTGTAAGATTTTGGTAACATGATAATGCTGGATTCATAGAATTCGTGTGGAAGGTCTCCTTCCCTTTCAGCTCTATGGAATGATTTGTGAAGATTTGTTGTTAATTTTTTAAGAGTTTTTTGACATATAGAAGAGAGGCCATCTGGTCTTAGACTTTTCTTTTTTTTTTTTTTTTTTTTTTTTTGACACTGTCCCTTCCTCAGATTCAGTGATTGTTATTAGTTTACTCAGGATTTTACATTCTCCCACTTCAGTTTGGCTGTATCATACGTGTTCACAAATTTTTCCATTTTTTTAGAATTTTCAAATATTTTAGCATAAGGTTTTTCAAAATAATCCCTGGTGATATTTTGCATTTCTGTGGTATCAATTGTAAATCTTTTGAATTTCTGTTTCTGTTATTTGTGTTCCCCTTATATAGACAGGTGGATATAGAAACAGACACATAGATATATCCTCCTCTCCTCTCTCTTTCACTCTCTTTTTGGTGTAACGTTATGTCAATATTTTTATCTTTTTGAAGAAACCACAGTTTGTTTCACTTGCATTACTAAATTCTTTTAGTCTCTATCCATTTGTTTCCGCTTTGATCTCTTCTTTTTCATAGATTTTTTTTTTCAGTGCTGGGACTTAAACCCAGGGCCTTATGCATGTTAGGCAAATGTTCTACCACTGAGCCACTTTCCCAGCCTTTCTGTGTCTTTACTTCTGTTATTTTTGTGTTTGGTGTTGTAGGAAAACTTGAGATGCATCGTTAGTTTGTTTATTTGAAATCTTCCTTTTTTGTATAATAAACTTCCTTCAGAGTAGTGTTTTTACTGCATCCTGTGGGTTTTGGTATGTTGCTTTTCATTTTTTTAACAAGAAAATGTTTAATTTCCCTTCTGACTTTGTGAATGACTCACTGTTCAAAAGTGTTATTCAGTTCCCATTCATTTTTACATTTTCAAAAGTTTCTGTTATTGAATTCTGGTCCTATTTCATTTGGATGTCAAAAAGATGCAATGTGTGATTTCATTTTTAAAACATTTTATATTTATTTTGGGGACTTACTATATGGTGATCTGTTCTAGTGAATATTGGATGTGTTGATGGAAAGAAATGTACCCTGCATCTACCTGATGAAATGTTATATCTGTCGAGTCTATTTGAACTATAGTGTAGCTTAACTGATGTTTCGTGATTTATTTTTGTCTAGGTAATCTATCCACCGGTGAGGTAGGATACTGAAATCTCCCATGACTATGGTATTGGAGTCTATCTCTCACTTTTAATAATCTTTGCTTTATAAAATTGAATGTGTCAATATTATGTATGTATATTACATATACTGTATATATTATATATATTTGTAGTTGTATCTTGATAAATTGCTGCTTTAATCATTACATAGTGACTTTTCCATTTTTCTTGTGAAGTTTATTTTGTCTCTTTTACTGCTACATGTTTTAATTTCATTTTCTTTAAATATTTTTTATCATTTCACTTGCAGTCTTCCTGTTATAATTTAGAATTTTAATGTCCCACAGAAGTCATGCGTTGAAATCTTAGTCCACTGATGATGGTGCTGTTGGAAAGAGATGGAAACTTTGGAATCAGGGTTTAGTGGAAAGATGTTAGGGTACTGAGGCATGCTCTTGGAGCACATACTGAGATGCCAAAAATAAACCTTTCCACCTTATAAATTATTTTTTCAGTGTTTTGTCACAGATGAGGAAAGCTGACTAACACAGAAAATTGGTACCAAGAAGTGGTGTCATTTTAGCCTCAGAGAAAGTGCTGTATGACTCTCTGAGGGTGAAACTGAAGTTGCCATAGACACCCTAGGAGGTTAGAGATCCCAGGAGCCTGAAACACCTGTTGAGGTAGAAAGTGTAAGTGGAGCCAGCCTAAGAGAGAGAGAGTGTGTCGTAGGAGAGAGGTTGCCCAAGCCTCATCAGCAAGTTAACCCACTGTTGAGTTCACAGCTGACTGAACTTATAGGAGGCCTAGCTGGTGGGATGAGTCATGGGGTTGTCTCACTAGAGACTGTGTCTGATTCCTGGCTGCTTTCTCCTCTGTTCTATCCTTGTTCTCTGCTTTCCAGCTACCGTGCAGTGAGCAGTTTTGCACCACTATGCCTTGCTTCCATGATGTTTCTGTCTTAGTGCCAATGAATCATGGACTCACACTGAATCAAAAGAAACCTCTCCCCCCTTTAAGCTGCCAAAGTTAGTTATTTGGAAAGCCAGCCAACACAAACTCTCCAATCTTCAGTTTCTGAGGGCAGCACCCTCCACTCCTCTCTGTGTGTCACCCTCTCCTTTTCTAAAGTACAGTGTTCTCAGTGGGTTTATGTCAGAGTCACTGTCTTGAGACCGCTTTGGACCAGGCAGCAGCTGGCTATTCACTGAGCCAGTGCAGTGGAATTTTTGGTAGAATCTGAGAAATAGGAATATGTAAGGGTTTCAAACCCACAAAGAAATCCAAAATCAGTCAACGGGCCCTTCTTGAGATGGCTCCTTGTTATGAAAGGAGTCTGGAAGTTTACTGAGATATGATGTGACCTTTTCTAAAGCCAGTCTACTGTGTAAATTTGACTGCAAACCCCTAATGCTTAAAAATTAGTAGCTAGGATTGCCATCATCCACACTGATAAAGTTTGCTACTATTCTTTCTTTCACACTTAGCCCTGCTGAAGGGAGACTTTCCTTCCCCTAGATATGCAGATGTTTCTGCAGGTGCTGGGATATTTTGTTTCTCTTACTACCAATGTGATTGTTCCATTTCTCTGAAATTCATAAGGTTCCACTTTTCTTTGCGAATTTTCAAGTTTCTCCTGTGATCACCTTAATGTACACCTAAATGAAACACCTGTTTTTCATTTCTTCCTTGTGAAGAATCAGGTGAATAATCCATGCCTCTTTCCAGACTTCTTTCTCCCTCTCTTAAATATTCTGAAAACTTAGGTAAGAAAAGCCCCTTATATTTATCATCTTTGGAATCATGGAAAAATACAAACCTAGTACAGAATGAAGTTATAACATCAGTATATATTTAGAAAACAAAGTCAAAGATATTGACACTTTACAAAGAAATTCTGAGAAAATATCTTTACCTGAAGTTGGCTGAATCATAAATCCTGCATGCCCCTGGCTTACCACATTTCAAAGTTCCCCAATGTAAACAGATAGAGTCCACTAAAGCTCCAAAATATATAGGTGCTGGGATGCCAGCTACAATTAAAACAGCAAGAAAAAGACATCAATGTAAAAATGAAGACTCATAATTTGAAAAATTCCCCATTTGTATACCAAAATACAAAGTTAGTGTTTTGTTTTATTTCTAGAAATTATATTATTTTTACTGTAACACTTCTAGATTATAAAGGATGTTATGATGAATAACAGACAGCAAAATTATTGACAGCATAAAATATTGAATTAATGATTCTGAGTTTTGTACATTTTTTGAGTCATCATGTGTATATTTTCTTTAGCTAAATCATTCCCTGTTCATTTGTTTTTAAGTCAGCAGATGAAAAGTACAATTAAGCTTAGATAGGACTGTTTCAAATGAAAAGGACAAATTCTCCATTTGCTTTTACTTTATTGTCATATTGATTATAACTGTTTACAAATAGAAGGGCTATTTGGTAGATTCTTTTCTGAGAGAATTATTTTATCTTGTAAGTATTTAATACTGCTCTGATATGATGTTGGGAAAAATAACTACTCATACCAAATATTCTTGTGCAAAACGTATGTAATCCCACACCAAGCGACTTCTCTTCAGACTTGATGCACCTAAAATAAATTTAGAAGTGAAAATTTTAAAATGACCACAGTTTCTTAAAAGGACTGTTTCCATGCTACTGGAAGCTGTGTATATTAGAAGATATACTTATGCTCAGGCCTTGGTTTTGTAAAATATGATTATCCAGCTTGAAACCTACACGGAATTCACATTTCCGCTACTGGTATTTTACCCATACATTTCTGCATGTTCATTTTCCACCAGAAGTTAGCAAAGAAGAATGTACTTCATATGGATCCATTTCCATCTCAGTATCATTGTCTTGAGAGTTCTTGACTCAAATGGTTAAACCTGTGGCCTAAAACAAAGTGATGCACTCCTCTCTATATTCAAATTATTCATATAAAGGAAATATAAGAAATTTGATCACTTATATAGATAATTAGAAAAAAGAAAGCGATAATAAAATGCTTCCCAAGAAACATGATTTTTAAAAATCACAATGCAAACCTATTTTAAGTGACTTAGTACACTTTTAAGAGTTGCAGAGATTTATCTATTCCTTCTAAATATTCTTTTATCTTTTCATTGTTTCCTGAAATTCATTTATGCAGAAATAAAAATAGTAAGACTCCAACAGTATTTTTGATATCCTCCCACACACCTTTGCCACCAGCATGCCTATCTGTTTGAAAAATTCACTTTGAGAACATCTCTGTCCTATTATTTCTTCCCTAATTAATTCAAATCTGAGGTAATAAAAGCAGGATTACTCACAAAAGATTGCCATACATTTTTAAGAGAAACTACACTTTATTGATGTTTTTATGGTAGAGATATTTTACTAGATAGAATAATTCAACTTACTCATAAAGTGAGGCATAGTTGATCAGAGGCTTCCTGACAGAAAAGTTACTTAGACATCAGTAATTTTACTCAAAATGCAGCATAACGTTCTTGATCACTTAATTTCCTCTCAATGCTGACAATAGGGCTTTTAATTTTTACTGAAACATTTTTCTTTCTATTCTTTCCTTTCCATAGCATTTTGTCATCTCACAGAAGCAGGAAGTCTTGATAATTCATGAACTATAAATAGTTTAAACTGTTCTCCAAGATTGGTCATTACTCGACATTGACAAAATCGTCAATCTGTAAAATATGGGATTCTGAAAGAAATTGTTTTAAATTCTTTGAAAACGGCAAACAAATCTGGGCATAGTGACTTGTGCCTATTATGTTTATACTTTCAAATGCTGAGGAAGAAGGCTTCCAAGTTCACACCCAACCGAGGCAATTTAGCAAGACCATCTATAAGAAGGGCTGAGGTTGTAGCTCAGTGCAACATCCCTAAGTTTATTTCTCAGTTCCAAAAGACAGGAAAAAGGAAAATATATGTAGCTGGTGCACCCCTCTAGCATCATGATGTGAGATTTTGTGATATTTGAGAAAATGAATAGGTATGTGTATAAAAAATCCCACAAGTTAAACTGTGTAATGTGTTCTTGGAAAAAGTGGGGAAGACAGTCATGGTACAAAGAAAATTGAAGGCATGAATACGAATATGTCTTATTAGGGAGTAGATATAAACATTTGTCCAAGCAGATGTTAACTATATGTATGTTTTGCTTAGTGAATATGTTAGCCATCTGCAAAATGCAACTTCCGTAGATTAGTGGTACAGCCAATGCTTCTCAGACATGAGGTTTGGAGTTGAATCACCAGCATCATGCACTCAAGACAAATGTAATTTTGATGATAGCAGAAAATCCCTGCTGAATTCAGTCAAAAGAAAAAATTACAGAGACAGCCTTATCTCAGTAGCACAATACATATAAATTCAACAAGACTAGGAAATCAAACCTAGCAAATTGTTTATGAAGGGAAATTGAAGGTTAAAAGAAGGAAAATCATAGAACAGCCATAAATCACAAAAAATAGAATTATAGTTTAAAAAGAAGCAAAACAAATTCCTTAAGGAAAATATCAAAAAAATAAATAACAATAATAATGAGTTACGGTAATACATAATGATCAAAATAAACAAATGATTCAAGAATTAAACTCAAATATGTGACTAAAGAATATCAGAGCAAGCCTAAAAAGGAGGAAAAGATATAAGAACAGAAATGAATAAAATACATATTAACAGAAATCCAAACTAGGAAAAGAATAGAAAATGTTCAATCTATTTTACTCATAAATACACATTCCAAAATTTTAAGTAAAACAGTACTCAAAGAAACTGTATAAAATATATTATTAACATATTTTCTCAGCTATGCAATTTTTAATATCAGAAATCCATCACTTTATTCCTCTAAGCTAAAAGATCTAAATGCAATACCACCATGATACCTAAATGTGTTTACAGCTCCTGGTTGAAGACCTAAGAAAAATTTAACAAGTTAAGATACGTATAATTAGTAAATACACAGAGAGATGGAAAATCTGCATATAAATCTTAACATTGACAAATCATTACACTAAATTAAAAATGGTGCTGGGTGAAAGTAAATTTCTAAAAAAATCAATGACATATCAATTAATAGTTGAAGTTTTCATTGGCAAGCTTCCCTTCTTAAATGTGGCTACACCACAACATCAGTTGTACCTTGGGTTTTTAAAAATATTCAGTACTCTGGAGGTTAAAATGTGAGTCTTCAGAGGAAGTAGGTATATGTCAATAAGGGTGCTCAGTCCAATCCAACATATCTTTGGCCACTCTCCAGATAGCACCCACCTACTCTACATCAGGAAAACCCCAGGGAATCCCCTGGCTATATATAAAAATCAAGAGAGTCTAAAAAGGATTCATTTTTTCTCCTTGTTTTGTAGATGAAAATCTCAATTTCCCTTATTCCTTTAGAGTATATTTTTAAGCACTGAAAGTTGTTTGACCCTCATACTCAGAAAGGGCTGTTTAATACTTGTATCAACCTGTAAATGGCCTAGATATCTCCTAGAAGCAAAATAAAATACAGCGGAAAATGATAACTATAGTACTATTTTACAATTAGAGTTGTACTGTAAGAGAGGGAAATGGTCAGGGTGTCTTATGCTCAGACTTTCTTAGCACTGAGAAAATGATCCTAAATTGAATTCCAGGTATAGGTGTAGACCAATAAAAACCTGAATACCTCTGGTCCTTAAGAAAATCTGAACCATCTACCATTACTGAGCCTGAAGTTAGTTTCCTTTTTCTTTTGTGCCCTCAGGAAGAAAAATAAGCTCTTCAATTACTTTAAATTGTTAAGCATTATTGCAAATAGGTAAGTAGTACCTAAAGTAAAATAGTTAAAATTAATCTCCAGTCTCCCTTTAGAGGGAACAGTTATGTGTGACTATAAAAATCTGGCAGCTGCAATAAGATAAACTGTCAGTTTCTAGGTCCCATCTTAAAAACATTGTTTGCTTTCAGAGGCATACAAAGTTTTTAAAAGATTTTTTCTTTTTTTCCCTTCTTATTCTTAATGAAAGTGATCTCTGTTAATTGACGACCTCCAAAAAAAGTTCTGAGTAATTTTGTTTTAATTTTTTAAATTGAAAACCTAAATATTGTAAAAGGATAGTTAGTTACTTTTCTCTCCCTTCTGGGACAAAATATTCCACAGCCAAAGTTAAAGATGGAAAGGTTTGTTTAGCTCACAGGTTGTAGAGATTTCAGTCCATAATCAACTGGCTCCAAGACATGCTGGTGTGACAGAGGGGCAATAGTTCATGAATTAAAAGACAGTCAATGAAACAAGAGAAAAAGAGAGGAGCAAGCCTCTTTTTCTCCCTTATACTGTATGCAGGCTACCTGTCCTAGAGTGAGTGTAACACTCACACCCCCAATCTCAGCACTATACAATGAACAAATCACAAATGAGATTCAGCTGCCTCTGAGAAGCCTATCCCATCATTAACTCATGAAGTTTTGGGGGTACATACAGACACAAACCATAACAGTCATTGTAGTTCAGCTTGGCTAAATATACCTGAGAGTACACACTGATTTAAATATAATCATCTTGGTTATGTTTGTCTGTCTGTTCAATGTGTGACCAGTTAGAGCACATACAGTTGCTTTCTTTAAAAACTATTGTTTGATCTCAACAGTTTTCCCACCAATATTGTATGTGATTTTTCCCCAGTTGATCTACAGAACACTCTAAAATTGTATCAAAATTTACTTATGTATATAAGCTACACTGTGAATCTATTTTAAAGACAAGTTTACAGAGTTAAAAATATATAAGCTTAATACATGTAAAGTAACTACTATCAAAAACAATATAGCAACTTAGCAAATAATTATATGATAGATGATATATAATTATATGACATCTATCTTTTATAAAATAACCACAAAATTAGCTGGAAAAGACAAAAATATGGAAAAATACAAATAGACATCTTGAAGTAGAAGCCTCAATAACTAATGCAGAAATAACCCAAAGATGTGCTCAAACTTACTACGTATCACATACAAAAAATCCATGAGCCACCATTCCATACATATTGGAATAGGCAACATGAGAAAGTTAGATAACTCAAAGTTTTAGTGAGGCTATACGGGGACGGGAACACTTGCACAGTGGGATGAGAACAGATCATAAGAAATTTTCATCTGTGCATTTCCTTATGAACTGGAACAAGGCCTACAGCTCACTCCCAGCCTTGTGGATATAAAAGTATATGTATACAACATTGTCACATTTTACAGATGATCTCTTTTTGTCCTAAACAGTGTGAGACCCACTCACTTTGCTCAAAGAAATAAGGAATGCTTTAGAAGAAAATGTCTTCTCTGTTTAAATAGCTTACTTTAAAAGTATGCATCATTCAACATTTAATGCAAAACCCTGAGTAAATGTCATATTTGAGCACAGAATTCTTACATACCAAAAGGTACAAGTAGCTTTTCTTTTTTAAAGGAAAAAGTTACACTACTAAGTGCACTATGAAAGGCATTTAAAGAAAGAAAATGATTCTTTTACCTCAGGAGAACCATATACCCAGGAATGGCAGCTAAAGAATAAATGAAACTGCTAACGGTTGACAGGATTAAGAAATACTGAAGCATCATGGAACATTCATAGCCTTTGTAGCACAGCCCGAGCACTGCAGATGCGTTTCCCGATGTTTGAATGCAGCTACAGTTTTTGAACACCTGTTAAAAAATAATAAATTATTCTATCTAAATAGGAAGAAAATTTTGAACACAAAATCAAAATATTTTCCACATATCCAGTTGGATCAAGAGAGAGGTTGCTGGGGCTGGGGTGTAGCTTGGTGATAGAGTACTTCCTTAGCACGTCTGAGGCTGTGTGTGGATTTGATCCCAACACCTCTCCTGCCTACTCACACACATGTGCACACACGCAAAGATGGAGACTGTTTATTCTCCTTACTCTCAAGTCCTTTATGGTGTATCTCAGAATTATATGATAAAACAAAGTACAAGAGAGTAATTTCAAAAGTCTGGTATTTTTTTCTAAATATATAAAAAATAAACCTGCACTAGCTTAATTATCCACAAAACACATGGCTTTTTAATGAAAAAAAAAAGTTTTCAACAACACTGTGAAAAATAATCTATTTCAGAGTTCTTACTTGTAATATGAATCTTTTTCTTTTGTTTTGCTTGTTTGTCTTTCCTAGGAATTGAGCTCAAAACTTGCCCTTGCCAGGCAGGCACTGAGTCATGTCTCTGGCCCAATAGGAAGATATTTACAAATGAAAAATCTTTGTCACAGAGGGGATTCAACATGGATGAATAGAGGAAGAGGTATATTGCAGTTACTCAGAGAAAATCGCCTAAAAGCACAAATAATTGGAAGAAGGTGGAGGATAACTATCCTGATACCAATATCAATCTGAAATTAGAAACTTATGGATCAAACAAAACATAGGAGTTTATAAAACAGCAGTGCAGCACTTAGGTATTCTTGTGGTAAATCCTCCTCCACACAGAGCAGGAACCATCATTCTGGGAAATTCCAAAAAACTGATGGCTTCAATATCACAGTAAATTCAAGCCATAAAGGATAAATTTAGGAAATAAGGTCCCTCAACACTTTTGTCATTCTCCAAATAGGGATGCCAGGGTTTTTGTTTGTTTGTTTGGGTTTGTTTTGTTTTGTTTTTGAGCCACAGTGGCTAACTGGGAACTCCTGTGATAACAAAATTAAGGACCAATCCAAAGAATGGGCAAGAAATTTTTGTCAGCTATCCTTCAAAGAATCTGCATCTAGAATGTATAAAGAACTCAAAAACTAGATCTCCCAAATTTAAAGACCCAGTCCAAAAATGGACATTTGAGATGAATAGACATTTCTCAGAAATGGAAATGAAATACATGAAAAAATGTTCATCACTCATCATTTGAGTGATACAAATCAAATAACACTGAGACTGCATTTCACTCCAGAAAGAATGGCTATTCTCAAGAAACCAATGAATAACTAATGCTGGTGGGGCTGTGGGAAAAAATGAACCCTTTTCCACTGTTCTTGGGAGTGTAGCCTTGTTCAGGCACTGCAAAAATCAGTGTAGGAATTCTTCAAAAAAGTAAAACTAGAGGTTCTGTTTGACCTAGCTTTACCTTCTTAGTATCTTCCTGAATAAGTTGAAAGCATCGTACCAGTGACATACACACACCCATATTTGTAAAGACAGAGTTTGTAATAGCTAAAGTTGGAAACAGCGAAAATTCACGTCAACTAATAAATGGATAAAGAAGATTTTTAAATATATGTATACCAATGGTTGACTACTCAGTCATAAAGAAGGATAGACTTGAAACATTTCTAGGTAAATGGGTGCACCTTGAGACCATGTTCTTAAGTGAAATAAATCAGACACATGGGTAAACTACTGCATTGTTTTTCTGATATAAGAAACCAAAAGTAAAAATAAGACCAAAATGTATACTAGGTACTGTGAAATAGGAGGAAGATGTGTGAACGGGAAGGAGAATTAGGGAGTGGGGGCAGGGAGGAAGGAAAAGAAAAAAACTAGAAGGAAAAATTCAAAATGAAGGTATTATAAATAAAAAGGGGAAATAGGGTTGAACAGAGTATAGGGGAACGAAAAAAAAATGCAAGACATACCGGGTAGAGGTACAAATTATGATGAGTGTGATCATTGTATATGTCTAAAATGTACCAATAAATTTAATTAAAATATCAAAAAATCTTCCTCACTAAAAATACAGTTTATTAAAAAACCAGAGTAAAGTCATTTGTCTTAAAAATACTTTATATAATATATGTAAATTACTTTATGTAAGACTTACCAAAAATCAAAATTTATATTCTACTTTGACCTTCAACCAAATTTATATTTTACTTTGAACAGCAAACAGCTATGTAGGTATTGTGACAAATCTCCTAAACTTCAATGTGTGTATGTCTAAATCTGTTTGTTAAAAATAAAAAAAAAAAACTATCACATTGTGAAGAACATCACACGCAGATTCACAGAAAAAATACAACAATTAGTTGGATAATTGATATCAAAACATCCAATTTTATGTTAAAGACAAAAATTGCTCTTTTCTTTAGTATTTTAACCTACATCATTTGAGGATAAAAGTTTACGCTGCTTGGAAATTACACACCAGTGCTCAAAGGTAGGAAATAAAAGATAATAAATTGCACATATAGAAAGTTATTTAAGGCACCCATAAACAAATTAATCTAGTTTGCAGAAAGAATAATTTTACTTTGGGCAATGTAGCCACAGTGCACACTCAGAAAATGCTAATCAGGTGCACAAAGTTCCGTCACAGAGACCAGAAGGGTGTTACCATGCCCAGTCCAGTTCCAGCAGATGTTTCACAACCAGCAAGGCAAGCTGACATGTAGGATAAACCATTGTCTCCACACACCGGATCCCATATTTTAGTCGGACAGTTGCAAAGTTTATTGCAGTCAGCCAGGACCTCCTTTCCCACATACAAATCTTGTTGAATTCTGAAATGTTTTAAAATGATTCCATGAATTTTGAAGGACTATTCAACTATGATTTCCCCTCCATTTTTTCATCACAATCTCCAATTACTCTCTTCTCTCCAAAACAGAATTAGAAATCTAACCATCAATGTGTGGCCTGAATTATATGCATTTCTGGCATAAAAACTGCCTGCTTCAGGGATCATAGGACCAGTTTTTCCATAATTTATTTCAGAAAAACATATAATCAATAAACAAGTGTGAAGAATTTTTGCAGGTAATATTAGAAATGAAAAAATAAAGGCCTAATTTCTGTCGTAGATTATGGGAGAGCTAACTTCAAGATGAAACCTGTAAGTTCTGTTCATAAAGTAGAAAATGCATTTAGTGCCAGAAACATAGCTTCTAGAGTGAATAAATACATTGTTCTAGTAAAGAAAGTGCCCAATACTTGTAATGATTGAAACAGTCTCATATGGGAGTCTAGACTAGATTCAAATCCTAAGTCTATGACTAGATCACAGTAGCTATGCTCAAAGATGAACACAATCTTTAAAGCTTAAATTTATAACACATATTTTTGTTGGTACTGTTTGCAGTGCAGTAGATTGAACTTGGGGTATGGCATGGAGCTACATTTCAGGGCTCTTTTTTATATTCATTTTTTTGTTGTTTTATTTCGTTTTGACACAGGATCTCACTAAGTTGCTAAGTTGCATAGAGTGAGCTTGAATTTGTGATCCTTCATTCTCCACTTCACAGAGTACAGAGGGGTTACAGGCATGTGCCACTTTGACAGAATAAAAGCCACATTGTTATAGTGCAGTTGAAAAGGTTTCCAACTAACTTCTTTTGTCATTAAATCCCTGTGAATTTTGACTTCTTCTTATAAAATGAAATTAATAATACCTGTCTTAAATGGAGTTTGCAAGACCCAGATAATTTGTATAAAATTACTTTATGATTTTAGGGTTAAGTTGATTCCATCTTATATAAGTTTTAGGGTGTCATTTATTTTAACTGATGATTATCTAAATGTCTTAAAGTGAGATTTTAAAATTCCATATTACAATAGAAAACCATTCTGCAAACCCTCAAATCTAAAATTAAAAGTAAGTCTAAAAGTATTCAGTACTTTAGATTAGCTATAAAAGTGAAATATATACATTCACATGCTAATTAATTTACATATATTATGATCAAATTATGCTAAAATTAAGCCTGCTGTAGAAACAGATAGATCTTCTTTAGATTTTACAGTCAGCTCTTAGGTTTTGTTCAGGTTTGGTTTTTAATTTAGTTTAGTTTAGTTTAGTTTAGTTTAGTTTAGTTTAGTTTTAGTGCCAAGAATTGAACTCACAACCTTGCACTTGCATGTACCAGGCAGGCCGTGTACCACTGAGCTATATCCCCAGCCCTCAACTCTTAGTTTTATCTACTGATGGGTGTATAAAATATATGAATAATTGGTATTTATATATGAATACCAATATGGATACTGGTGCAACTTAAATTAGGGAGTTTTAATTTATACCTTTTAATGTCCAACAAGTTATCACAATGAAAACCACATATATGTACACAGTAAAATCATAAGTTAACTCATCTCTTGATGTTACAAACCACTTTAACAAGCCTAGGTCCTGGATAGATTAATGTAAGATTGACAGAGGGAAGAAAGTTGTAGGACAACCACGGAACACTGCCATTAAAACCTAAACAAATGACTCACTTGTGCACAAGCACTAGAGAAAATGTATTAGTAAGTGCTTGTTGAAAGAATATAACATTCATTAGAAATCAACATACCCTTCATAAGACACAGTTATGCCAGCAACTGGAGAATTATCACAGGTCATGACAAAAGATAAAAAATAGAGAAGGTACTCAAGTATGGACAACCAACACGCTATGTGGGCAGCTTGCTTCACGGTAATCTTGAACCTCTTCATAATTAAACCACCAACGATGTATCCAATGCATATTGGAGGTAAGTTATAAATACCTAAAAATGCAAGTACAGTATTACTTGTAAAGTAACAATAAAGGAACAAATATAATTTTTGTCTAAAACATCTTTGAGAAACTTCTTTCTCATTCTTTAAGAAAGTTGGACTTGCAGTGATTTTAATGCCACCTAGTGACACATCACATACAGAGAAATTTTGAAAAGTTTTGTGGTGTCACAGTGTATTCTAAAAGACTGTTCTTTCTTGTAAGTAGGTATCTCTCTCTCTCTCTCTCTCTCTCTCTGTCTCTCTCTTTGTCTCTCTCTCTCTCTCTCTCTCTCTCTCTCTCTCTCTCTCTCTCACAGTACAGGTAGAAGTAGCAAGTCCAGTTAATAAATAATTCACTGCTTTCTATTCTGTACCATATATATATATATATATATATATATATATATATATATGATATGCAGTTATTTATCCCCATTTTGGTTACTAAGAATTTGACTAAAATTTGAAAGATCACTTCATTGAGTCTCTGGCAACTTGTATTTTGCTTCCACTGACTAGCACACTTACTTCTAGCTATTCTCACCCATAAAAAGGGTGGGGGGAGAAGGGAAAAATAGACCTAAATGTATGTCACTTATGCAATGCCAGTATCTAGCTGACAGTATTATATTCTTGGAAGATGTTCTTAGCTATCCATTACAGACTCTTGTATCATTATTTCTGATTTATTGTATCTGAGATAGGGGATCAGATATCCAAAATTTGCATAGCATCCTAGATAATATAGGTACAGGTAACATTCAAGAGTCATTTTCAAAAGAGGAAAACTTTCTAGGAAAAACCTCAAAGTAGTATATAATCACTAGGGTTACTGTAATAACAGGAAAAGTGGACTGTCTGCAGACACCTAAAGGACACTATGGAATTAACTTGGGAGGAATATACATTTCATGAACTGAATCCAAAAGAGTAAAATTGGAGTAAAGTGTTAAATCTTAATAATTTAATTCTGCATTCTTTTCCAAATTGATTATTTCTTAAAAATTGAGCACTATTGCATTCCCTAAAATTTCCATGAATATTATACATTTACACTCTGCTTGGAGACAAAGAAGAGAGAAGAAAGGATATTTCTAGAAATTTTCCTTCCATATTCTTTTTTATTTTCCTTGAAGAGTAGGAGGAGGATATTTATCAAAAATAAAAATGTCCTAAAAGACTTGATTTTAGGAGTTTTGTAGTTCCACCATCATATTGCCTACCATTTCATGGGAGGCAAAGAAAGTAAGCTACTAAACCAGACAAAAACAAACATACCAATGAGAAAGATTGCTTCTGAAGTTGATTTTCCATACTGCTGTTCCAGATATTTAGGCATGAAGGAGAACATATTAACAAATGCATTGAACTGCAGCACACTTATAAGTATGAAAAGCATGTAAATTGGATTGCAAGAGAGACTTTTCATGAATGGTAAAAAATCTGAAATAAAAGGACAACACCATCAGACTAATACGGTACTATAGTCTATGTGCATTTTCTTAAATCATCAGGTTCCCTCATGGACTGTTTTAAAAGCATGTATGTTTGTTAATTCTCTTTACTGCTGAGAAGCTAAATCATTGTTTTGCTAGCTTCTGAAAGGTAGTGATGCAATGAAGTAAATAAGAATTAGAGGACACAATTTTGCCTTTTCTATGCTATTAAAGATGATCAGGTACATAGTAGAAGACAATTGTGGAAACTTTTCAAAGTACTTGATTAATTTATCTCCCAGACCACAGTGTTACATGTTACAACCCTTTATAGGAGCATATTAGCTCTTTAAGAACTATTAATCATAATGCTGAGAACTTTCAAGATTCCAAATTAGTTTCAAATAATACCAAGAACTATTAAATTATGTTTTGAGTATGTTTGTAATTATTAACGAAAATTCTGTGTAAATCAATAATTGTAGCTTAACAATGATAGTGGAAATTGTAACATCAACAATGAAAATACAACAGTGGTAGAAATAATAATACTGTTGTATGCCAGAATTCCTTTTATCTTTATAATAAAAATATCATTATTATTCCCATCTTATAGATAAGTAAATAGCCCCTCTCCACTCTCTAAATAAAACAATCTAATAATTCCAGTGCCCAGGTGATGTTTCATGTTATCTCAGACATCTTGAGAATACCACAGAACTTCTAGGTATCAGTAATTTTTGAAATTTCCTAGGCGATTAAAAGTACATCAAGTTGGAGAATCAGTGTTCTTCAATAATAAATACTTAGACTGTTTTAGATTCCCAGAGAAACATAAATTATGCCTTGAATTTTGATTAAGAAACTATGCTAACAACAAAGCAAAACAATAACAACAGTAACAACAAAAGAAGACCAATATGTTACTTGAAATATGTGTCTACATTTACTGGAAAATTTCTATAGGTCAAACTTACTTGTATCTCAAAATCTAAAGCGATATATTTCTTTTTATATTTTTTATTTGAGAAACAGCTTGTCTTTTAAAATTATTACTGATCACTATTTTAATGTAGTGAACCATATCATCCCTCACATTCTCTTTTTCTGTCATAACTTCCAGGTAAATTATACCTAAACAAAACTTTTGAGGATACAACTACTCTACCGATTAAATCAAATGTGTATTTCTCTATTATGATCATTGGTTTGATTTTATTAATTTTTCAAAATTATATTTGTCGTCTATGAAATAGACTTTTTAAGCAGATGGAACCACATATATTTGTTTGAATGTTCAGCCAGACTTAAAATTTTACACAAACAACAATCTAATTCAGTTTCCAAATTGTATCACTTTTCTTCAAGTAAGAAGGCGCGTGAAATCAATAGGTTGGATATTATTGACTGGAACTATTAATGGCAAATTGTTTTTAAGACAGAATCGCATAGTGTACGGTTCAACTAAAGTATAGACTCATCTACATAAAACAAAATGTAGAGTATTTAAAATGTTTATTTTTACCTTTAGTGATGCCCTGATTTTCCTTCTTCAATTTTTCCTCTATGTCATTTTTAATAATGTCAGGATTATCCTCTAATCCTTCCTTTGGAAGTGTTTTAGGCAGAAAGAAAAAAGGAATGGCAGTGAGGATATTCACTCCTGCACAGATCAAAAAGCCAAACCACCATGCACCAACCCAACGAGTATCAGTGGGAGTTATGGTCAGATCATCTGTGAAAAAATACATGCATGTTTATTAGCTCATATCATTATTTCCTGTATGAGTTATTGAAAGCTATTAAAATTCTCAAGTTTTACATGAGTTTAGAATTTGTACCTCTGCAGACATTTGTAAAACTTATCACTGGGTACCAAGTTAATGTGAAATAGGAGGGAATAGTTCAAGAGTGCTTTTGAACAACTGAATAACTGTCAATAATAATTATGCACAGTATATTTCAGGAAGCTAAAGATTTTGAAAGCTTTTGCCATAAAGAAATGATATATCTTTGAGGAAATAGACATTATTAACCTGCTGAAACATTTTTGATACAATGTACTTGTATCAAACCATCATATCTTACACCATTAATATATACAAATGTTTTATGAGCCAGTTAAATCATTTTGAAGTGTATTTGATAATATGTCACATTGTTATATTGTCCAACAATAAATTATTCTTTTTACTATAATTTGGAAAGCATGTATAAGCTGGTATTTACTAAATAACAGAAAGATTTATTTCCTTATTCATTAGTGATCATGTGATTAATATAAATTAAAACCTATGTGCTTACATCTTTTGAAACCAAAATATAGTTGAGATGCAGTAAAAAGATCAATGGATTTTGAATCAGGTCAACATTTTATCTGGTTCATCAGTTTACTCCATTTGTTGCTGAGATAGTGATAATCTACCCAAATGATGATCAAATAAGGCAGTGATTATATATGGTGATATATCTATTTCTTTTTGACATACTTCAGATACCATACACAAGATTTTATTGAATTACCTGTATTTACAGACCCAGTGTCTACATAAATGTTGGCACAAAATGATGCTAACAAAAGCCCAATCAAAGGACCAATGATAGTTCCTGTTTCTATAAACCCTAAAAGGAAACAAAAATCATAATGTTATAGTTAGAAACTCCTCTCAGAAGTTCTGATTTCACAAAAAAAAACATTAATATTGACTTGTTTTTATGGTGCCTTTTAGCTTTATTTTGATGGTGCTGCTAGCTATTAAACATAATGCCTTATACTAGAAAGATGGCCAACACAGGGATCATATAATTTCTCATGTTCACAATTGGCTGTAATTTGTGTTTTGCTGCTAGGTAGCTTGAAACAGCAGTGGCACATGCATGACTATTCCATGTATCACTGAAGCCCCCAAATCTGCCAGATGGGATAGTCATCATACAAGTGTCACTGGTGGTACAAGGTAGTGGGAACATGTTAAAGCCATCTTTCTTTTTTTTTTTATTTTAAAGAGGGTAAAATTAAACATAAAAAACCAGAACAAAACAGATCATAAGAAACCAATTTAAGAAACTCAGATTTCAAAGCAAGACCACTGGAGATCGTCACTGTCTATCATATCGTCTCTTGTTTTTTCCAAATAGTTGTCCACATCTTCACACACAGTGAATACATACTGAACAATACAGTACTAAACTGATCAGAACAGGATGATGAAGGCATTTTAAGGTCTTCAAGACCAGACAATACGGGAGTTAACAATGGCTGCCATAATTCTCTAGGCCTCTAAGTGTCTTTCAGGCCATAATCTAGTAAAACTGCTAGAATGACACAAGCAATTATACAATTGACAAAGCCATGAGCAAAAAGGAGTATTGATGCTTCCTCTAGCCATATATTTGAAGGACTTCTAAAGCAATGGCATGTTACGGTGAATATCTTGTGAAATATTCCTCAAAAATCTCCCACTCCAAGTCCCCAATTGGCCACTTCTTCCATAGGAAAAATATATGCTCAGCCTAACAGTGCTTCTTGCTGATTTTTCATGATCCTCTTCGTCCCCCACATTTTTATTTGCTATTTTCATCTTTTTCCTCCCTCACTTGGCTTCCTAAACCATGAAATGTCATCACCAGCTATCTTATAAAATCCCTGAAATTCAGAATCTATGACATGTTCTTCATGATCGCTGAACACCCAGTCATGAGCTTCTTTAAATTTTGTCCTTTTTATTTCTGAATCTGTCTTTGCCTTTTGTCTCTGCCTTCTCCAGATTCTATGTGCCGGTCCACTTCACACACATCTCATACTGATACTGATCTCTTCCATCTTCTCTGGAGTCTTGCTCTGCCAATCACTGCCTGTTGTATGCTTTTCCAAGTTCTCTCATCCAATAATTCACATAGCATCTCAGATCCACTCCCTTTCTTTCCTTTCTCTTCATTCTTAGTCTCTTCTTCCTCACCACTTACTCAGTTTGCTCTAACCCTCTCACCTTCTGCTCAGCTCTTGGGGGCACCAGTGATTTCTTTGTCACTAATGTAGTATTTACTTTGCCTCCTCACCCTTTTAATTCTAAGCTATCAGACATTCCTGGACAAGTTCTCTTTTGTCATTTTTCTTTTTCATGTTCCCCCATGAGTACTACTTTGAATTTTCTTCTTCTTGTTTACTCCTGTTATGCTAGAATCACCAAGTATGTATGTATGTGTGTATGTGTGTATATGTATATGTATATGTATATGTATATGTATATGTATATGTATATGTTTATGCATATATTGCTTCTAGATGGGTAATTCTCAATATCTAGCTTTTATGTTCTCCTCTATACCTCAGAGTATATATGCAACTATTTGCTGGATGTATAGCTTGTTGATTTAGTTATTTTATTATACATGCATATATATAGGATATTCTTACAATTATGTAGTTAGTTATTAAATTCGTAAGACCTGTGCTTTTCTCATCTTTGTATGCTGAGAAATTATATTACACATCTGTTTTTTGAGTAAATTAAACATATCATGGAAAAATGTTAATTATTCTCAAAGAATGTTTCCATTCTTTCAGTAGAAGTATGTGAAGAGATTTGAAAGGATTCAATAGAATAAAACATGATTATCGCACAATTAATGAGTGTTCACATAGTGCCAAAATTTATTTAGGTCAATGACTTTGTGATTTTTAAATTTTAATCTATCTCAATTGTATACATGTCTTTGTGCATGCGTGTGTGTGTGTGTGTGTGTGTGTGTGTGTGTGTTAGTGAGGATTGAAAGCTGGACCTTTGTTCTGAGTTACATTCATTACTTCCCTCCTTTTGAATTTTGAGCAGAATATTTCTAAATTGCTCAGATTAGCCCTGTCTTTGTTATCTTCCTACCTGACCCAAAATGATGGGATTACAGGCATGTGCCGTTGCATCCAACTTGTTAATATTTGAGTCTTCTGGTTTTCAAGATATATATATTTACATTAATATAAACTATCCCTGCATTCAAAGTTATAATTTATGACCAACTACAGATGAAATAAATAAGGGCTATAATCAAGTTTTCATAATAAATGAAGACTAGGAGACTGTGAGTCATTAAAAAGTAGAATTTAAATTGACTGAAGCTCAAGTGATACATGGATTTTATAAAGGTAATTTCAAGAAGTATAACAAAAAGAGTGAAGACAGATATTTGTGAAAAATATGAGAAAGTCTGGCAAGAATGATGACATGATCACAAAGGAAATAAGTATAGAAATCTAAAAAGATTAATAGAATCCAATTAATAGATAATGACAAAAGATTAGACAATAAGAAGGCAATGGTGAATATATCATTAAAACAATGTTTGAGAAAGATTATATTGCAGGAGTGTTTATAAGAAATTAACAATACATTAAATATAAAATAAGTAATAAAGGAAAGTAACTTTTGTCCTTTTTGTACCAGGCATCAAACTCAGGACCTTGTGCTTGCCAGGCTGACATTTATGTCATTTAGCTATGTCCCTAGCCCCCAAAAGGCAACTTTTGGTTAAGTAATGAAAACTTGAATAAAGACACACGTGGTAAAAAGTAGAAAGTATTTGAATTTAACGAATATTTTAAGAGAAATTCTTAACTGATAGATATAGTGTGACTTCAAGGAAACAAAAGATTGAGAGGACTCAAAGCGTGCTAGATTCATGTTACCTCCCATAGCAAAAGGTAAATATGAAACCTGGCTTATTTGAGGTTAGCATATAATTGTTCTACTCAGACAGTTTGTGGTGCAGTGTACTTGGCTCATCATTCTGGAAACACGGAATGCAAATAAACAATTTCTACCCTCAAAGAACTTGCTGTCCTGAAATGAAGTTCAAACAAACTTTCAGACTTACCAATATACAATGGTGAGTTTTCAGATTTGGAAAAATCTTCTATATAGGAAATGCCCAAAGGCATGATGGGTGTTTCACCCATTCCTCGTATAATATTTCCCACCAGTACATACACCCACATGAAGGATTTAACTTCTTTCACACACTCTGTTTTAAGAAAAACAAAAGCAATTACACTAGTGCTTTGAAAGTAAAAATTTAGTGACGCTTACTTAAAAGTTGCCTGAATTACACAATGCCTCTGTGACCATGGCCCCTGCTCAGTAATTGATATTACTATGACAGCAATGAAAAACCAGTTCTTCTTGTTGCTTCTTTTATTTTGGAGAGCAGAAAGAATATTTAGATATAAACAAGTATATGTGGTGTACTTAAGCCAGTTCCTACTTAAACAAAAGAGATAATACATGCACCTTTCCATTTAGTGCTTAATGCCAACATATTGGTAGCTTAATAGTATTTATAACACAGAAACTGGCAAACTGCAAAAACCAGTGTTTCCTCCCACCTCTTGAGATTCAGTTTACCAGCAATGTCTGAGACCAGAGTGGTATGCTGTTCCCACAGAACTTTGGGGGAGAAACTCCCACAATACACTCCAAATTATGATCAATTATATATAATTATAAATAATATAATTATAATTTATGCTATGTAAGATTGAAATATGAGTTTCAAAGAAGTTTTGGTCCCGATGACTTTTAACTTCATAAAAAACTAAACCTACCTATCTGGGAAGTAATTACGTTTTGTTTTCCTAAGGACCTACTATATACTGTGATCATCAAATAACTTTTAATTATTTCATTCTAATCACTAGAGCATCTGCTAGTTAGTAGTGTAACTAGACTCAGCCACAAAGAATTGAACAGGACAAAAGGAGATATCTGACAACTTCTCTCTGGATTTTTATCTTTGAGGGGCTTGGCCAAAGAATAAATGGCAAAAGTACAAAGTTTTTAAGAAATAAATGATTAAACAATCAGAAGTCTAGATTAGTAAAGCAGTTTGCATCTGGCTATTGTCTTTCCTCTTTCCTGAAGACAACTCCTCCAACCTTGAGATAGCTCTTTTCTCAAGTTGTTTTTCTTCTGCTCTTTTGATATTCTAAATAAAAGCAAGAGAGATCTCTGCTTCAAGGTTTCTTCTGGGAGTCTCCCTAAAGCTGGATGCTTTCAGTTGAGATTGTTCATCTGGGCCCGTTGGTGACTGAACTAAAACTCATCTCCACATAATCATTCATCCTCTGTGCTGCCACAGTCATGTGCTGTGACAAGTGGTGAGTGACCGGGGTTAGGAATTAGCCATTGCTGCAGATGATCATAAAAGACCAAACTTCCAGGCCTGTGTAAGGAACAACGAAGGATTCAACTCTTCATGTGGGTAAAGAGGGTAGAAATAGCCATCGGATGACCTGGCCTGTTCACAGCGAGGTCAAATGTTAGGTTTATCATCCCAGTGGTCTTTTAATTGTCCAACTGCTAAGTAAGTCGGGGTACTTCAGTTGATTTTCTTTTTGCTCTTTTACATTTATTTCTCCTGCCTTGCCTACTAAATGGATTCAACATTAAGAAGGGAAAGCAATACAAGCAACATTTACAACGTCTCTTATAAAATCTGACTCAAATAAATAAATGGTAGAAAGAGAAAGAGAGAGAGACAGAGAGAGAGAATAAAGGCAACAAAAACTAAGCCAAAAATGTGTGCTAAACTGGGACAATCTATCAAGAAAGTAGAAATTCCTCCTAATATTGTTACAAAGGCTCAAAGGCATGACAAAAATATCTAACAGTGCACTCTGATTAAACATAACTGCTTTATGTTTTGTCTATATGATTTGGCCTAATCTGCCTGTTGAAGTTTGGTAATATAAAGGACATATGTTATATGTGATTTAGACTAATATATATGTTTCACCATATGTGTGTTAATTTTCAGTGACATATTATCATCCAAAAAGTCCAACTTATATGGATTTCTAGATAGATACTCATGGTATTAACCCCATTGCTATTGGTTTACATATCTTACTAGTTGGCTAATTTAACGCATTTGGTGACATGCTTCCTTTTAGGTTTTTAGCCAATTAAAATTTATTTTTTAAATACAATGCTTATTGTTGTCTTTCTGCAATAATTTTTTCATTGGTATTCAAGAGATAAACATAAAAATGGGACCCAAAATCCTATGATATACGGTCAAATTCTTATGATTAATAGTAACAATGTAGAACTTCCAAATAATAGTGTGCCTATTAGGACCACTTTTATAAGAGTATAAATCAAAGCCTTGTTTTCACTGTCTCTGAGTCCAATTTTGGGAAAGACAAATAATTTATTTCTTTTACAATCAAGAGATTACCAGGAAGTTCTGTGCCTGCATTTAATGGGTCCTAGGAGAAAGGGAGACGTGTCCCACTGGATATATGTGTTTTGAGTAGCCTGCTTTACCTACATATTCTATTCTTACAGAAGATATAGAACATCTAAGAACAGTGAAATCAATGCACAAAGAGATAAAACAGATATTTGGAGTGATCAAATAACCTCATTCACCAGCCAAAATAAAATAATTAGGCAAAACATACTATGTCTTGGTTGTCAAGACATTCCTCAACTAGCATACATAAATGCCAATAGTGACTGTCAGGAAGTCCTGACACTCCTTAAATGAAACATTATTAAATATTGCTAACATGACTAAGGCTTGTCAAAATGTGAGGATGGAATCGCATAAAGTCCAAATCTTGCTTTAGCTTTACAGCCCCAAAAATGTTATAATTGTGGCAAAGAGAGACATCTTCAAAAGGATTGCAAAAATAATAAGGTAAAAAGATGAAACCAAGGCAAAAATGCCCTAAATGAAGAAAACAGTATCACCAGGTCAGTCAGTACTGCTTCAAATGTGTTAATGAGGGGAGCCCTATTTCAAAAAGTAAGAAGAAAGACATAACCCGTCATGCCCTGATAAAAACAGGAAGTTAATCTTAAAATGTTCATGCAAAAGTCACCCCAGAGTCACAAGTGTCCACTGTTACAAATCTTAGTTAGTTAAGAAATTGATTTTTAGCTTCCAATTTAAGTTGATATTTTGGTTTAATTAATACGCCTAAAACATTTCTACTGCATTGTGAGTTCTTAAACTTTAATTATAGGGTTAATTTGTCCTCTTGATCTTTCCCGGCACTTAGATAAGAATATTTATTCCAGATTATCTGCAGATCTTTTGGCAAGACAAGCAAATTAAAAATTGTTGTGTTGGAGTTAGTGGTGCATGACTGTAGCCTAGCACTCAGGAGGCTGAGGCAGGAAGATTGCTGTGAGTTTAAGGCCAGCCTAGGCTACATAGTGAGCTCAAGGCCAGCCTGAACAATGTAATGAGATTCTGTCTCAAAGAAACTTAGAAAAAAAAATAAAGTAACAATCTGAGACTAATTAGAGAGAGAGAGAGAAAAACATTTTAAAATGCAAAAGGTCACTCCCAAATTTGTTATAAAAATTTATAGTAAGTAGAATAGGAAATATACATATATATACATATGTATGAATGTAAATATGCATGTATTTATAATAGATATATTTTTGATGTAAGAAGATGCTTGTGTGATAAATTTTTGCCGTACTAAAAATAAAGAGATAACAAAAATGGAAGGTTAATTATGCTGAAAAAAGATTAGTGGGGGATGCAGATTATAGAAAAAATATATATGTTTGGTTATTTTAAGCTTTGCTCTTGTTAGTTTGGTTAAGCATAAATTACTCCTCCTTAAAACATCTTTTTTCTCAAAGATGATTAGAGGGCTACAGCCCTGAATCTATCAGTCATTTTTCCAGATCCCTGTACGTATGCTGATACGGGCTATAACTCTCATTTCTTAAATTCATATCAAACATGAGTTTTTCTGCATGGCTAGAAGACACACCTAGGTTGATCAATGACTAAAAATAAGACAAATCTGCCTCCTGGGAGACTTCCAACCTAATTTATGACACCTTATTGAAAGATCACAAGTGTAGGTAAATATTTTTATATCATTTAATATAATAGTGTTATCATGATTGTTATTTTGTGTTATGTTGTCCTTGACTCAAATTTTCTCTATAAAACTTTATAACTGTTATCTGTCAACATTCTACAGGGTTTCAATGTCTAAAACAACCATAATTGATAAATCAGTTCCCTGATTCAGCCTCTCAACATTGTCACTGATTTCGCCTATGGTATAGAGACTCTACAAGTGATTAAAACTGCTCTTATGCATAATACAAGTGATGAGATGCTCTTTCATGTTCCCTGGACGTCTAATGACGGGAAAGGTTGATTTTCTTAACGTTCCTCCAATTCTGACATGTTAAGGATCTCACTGGGATTCCTCACAATCCCATAAGAAAAGTCAGTGTAGAACAAGCCAATGAGCCCCTCGAAACTCAATTTATAAAACAAAAAAGGGGAAATAAGGGCGAAGACTTATTTAATTTAATAAGACTTTAAATTTTCTAAATTATGATTTAATAGATTTCACAGCACTACAGAAAAACAACTCCCCACTCAGCTGAACCGGTACTGCAAAGAACAAGAATGCCCATTCCTTTTGAAAATTTGCTTCTTACATGGATCATATAAGTCACTGCAACCCCCAAATTGCAAAGATAATAACCTTCCTTCATCTTTCTGAATCTCCTGACATATATACCTCAAGTAAGTGACCTGATTTATTGGGCTCATGTTCTTAACCTCAACAATTTTAGATATAGTTACATGAAAAAATTCAAATTCACCTCTTTTCTCTAATGGCATCTCACATACAGACAAAACTTAATTGCTATCTCTTGGCCCTTTAAGGGTTTATGAGACTGACTATAGCTATTCTGTCAATTCGGTAGTTTGTATCTGCTACCCCCACAAATGGTAATTCCAGACAAAAGGATTCCCATGTTATACTTTCAATATAACTTGCCATAATGATTTTATTCCTTTGTAGTCCCAGTAGGGTATAAATAATTAGTATCTCCCAATTAAACATTATTCCTATTATGATACTCAATGAATCAAAGCTTGGTTCCCTACCAGTCTCATAAGAGAATAGATAAAAATAGGGTCCTTTAACAAATTACTTCATCATTTAAATTTATCAGACAAAAATGTTTTCTGGGCATTCATTATATGATAGCTACAGTGACAACTATCTTGGTCATCTTAGCTTATTCCATTCAAACTGCTCAAACTGTGAATATCGGTTCCTAAAATGTTAACTCTGAACTGCTGACTCAGCCTCAGCTCTAATGATATTGCCTGCTAGCTGATCTCCTGAAATTAGTTTTCTGGCTTCAACTTCACATTTGTATTTTTAGTAGTACTGGAATTATCTTCTTTATTTGTTCTTACAGTCCTCAAGGACTTTTGTGTACTGTTCTGGTGGACCCTTTGTGCTGAGACCATGGTAACCTTTCCAAATCAAACCCAGTACCAACCTACGCTATATTTCTGTCTTCCTCCACATAACTGTTCTTATAAAACAAAAAAAGAGGAAAATGTGAGGGACTTGGCCAAGGAACAAATGGTTAAACTGCGGAACAAAAACATACACTCTGTAAGGAGTGAACAGTTAAGCTGTGGGGGAAAGCACACAGGTTCCATGGTAAATGAATACTTATGTGAGGGTGTTCATAACCCCACTTTTTGTTTTCTTTTCTCTGCTCTTTTTTTCCCTTTGAAACCACCCCCCAAGCCCTAGTTTTGAAAACTTCACCTAATTTATGACCCATAGATTATGGTTTAGATATTTAACTAGTAGTTAGACTTTAAATAACAAGTTAACTTTGTCCAAATTCCAAAAAGACCTCCTCCTCTCTCTTAATTGGCCATAAAAACTCCAGAAAGAACAAAAATTGGGATATGTAACTGCCTGGTGCCAATTCTGTGCGCCCGTTAACCAGATCTAAGAAGTTCTTGTAACATTCGAAAGCAATGATAGTGCTACAAAAAGATGGAATCCATGGTAAACACTGTGAGGAAAACGGAACAAAAGAATAGAGGCCAACCAACCAGGAGCCAGCAGCTTCAGTGGTCTAAACTGACCACTGTAGTTTTAATAAACCTCAATTGTTTCGCGAATCTCAGTGTCCCATGGGTAAATTTCTAGAGTATGCCATAACACTTAAATAAGAAGTGCCATAACACTAAAATAAGAAGCATGTTGCGTCTGGCCACTGTCCTTCGCTTTTCCCCAAGAAAATTGCTTATCCTTGAAAGAACTCTTTACTGAATTGTTTTACTTCTATTTTTTTCAGCACTGATATTCTAAATAAAAGCTGGAGAGTTCCCTGCTTCAGGGTTTCTCCTGCAAGTTTCCCTAATAGTGGATGATTTCATTTGAGAAACCCCTCTGGGCCTCTCACTGACTGGACGTCAGTCTCCTATCCAAGTAATCATCTCCCCTTTGTGCAGCTAGGAACACACTGTGTCATTTGCCATTGATGTTCTAAACCCCACTTCCAAAAGGAAACTTGTTGGGTTAAATTTTCAGCAAACTGAAGGCCAATGTACTTTTGCCTCCTAGAAACTGGCCAAATGGTGCCCACACAGATGAGGGTCCAGAGAATAGGTAGTTGAGGAATTTCTCATGAAATCAATTACCTTCAATCCCCAATTAAAAAGAAAAATCATAGACTCCATTTCCAGGTATTCAGATATTTTTCCTCTGGCGAGCAAATGTTTTGTGTCTAAAAGTCATAGGGCAATGTTGTGCCTACTGTAGGGCAAAATGTAAACATCAGATGATTAAAAGCTTGATGCACTTTCCTAGAGATAAACCAGGGTTGAAAGATTTTGATGTATGTGGCACCTGGCTAAGTCTTTTCTTTGTATTCAAGAAATGAATACAGAGATGCCCATTAACAGATTGATTAATGAATAAAGAAAATGTGAGAGACATTTTATATATATATATATATATGAGACATATATTAAAGCAATAATCATCTCTATTTTGGCTAATCCTGGCCCTATTTCTGTGTATTGATATGTACAAAGCTGGCTAGAACACTTCCTTATCCCTTCAGTCCTTCAGTTGGCTTTATTAAACAATGCAAATCAGTCTAGTAGAGGTGCTAGCTTGCTTTGAAGCAAGGTAACAAGTCAGTATTATTCCACCTCTGCAGCTCCCAAAAAGATGGGCAAGAGGAGAGCCTCGCTCCACTCTGTTAGCTGGTATTAGCCTCGAGGATAACAGGCTATGACTTCTCAGGACATAAAAGATTACACATCAGAGCTGAAGCACTGACCCCAAAACATTACTCTTTCCAACTGTATTATGCAGATTACTCTTTCTGAATATCTTTTTTTTCTACATAGTGCAGAGGTGATTTCAGGCTACCTATCTGGCCCAGTTCACAGTACTCAAATCTTAGAGTCACTCATCCTCAAGACACTACTGTCTTCACGAATGAATAAAAACCAGGTTCAGCGCTGGGTTAAGGCTTTTGTCCTGGTTAACCATCACCCTAACTGGACTTAGGATACCCTTGGCTCCCCACAGCTATAAATATGATTTAGTGTCTTTATTCTCAATGTAGGTTATACTGGATGTCGTAGATTGGAATTAACTCGCTAAAATTCCAACAACTTTTCCATGAGATCACAAATATAAACTTCTTGGACCATGACAAGGTCCAGGAAAGGCTCTCTATAATATATCATATATTATATATCATATATCATTACATATTATGACATGTAATATATATTCTAATATATATTCCATGTGTAATGGAATATTAATCAGCTATAAAAAATGTAATTTATAGGAAAATGGATGGAACTGGAGACCATCATCTTAAGTGAAATAAGTCAGTCTCAGCAAGTTAAAAGTCTCTTATGTAACAAGTCTAAAAATAAATAAATTCGAAAAAGAGACAGGACAAGAAATTAAAAGGCAGTTTTCTAGAGACAGAGAAGAGGGTTTGGCGGAAAGATAAAGAAGAGAACAAGAATGAAATAACAAAGATGTTACACACATGGACCATTGTAGCCTCATGAATCTCATTATTCTCTACTGGAAATATGTACCAATAAAAATAATAAAAAATAAATGAACACAGACCACTGTTGATGTTACTGTTTCCCTGGGTAGATGTCTCTGGCTTAAATAGCTGTCTCTGAGACAGCTATTTTTTAACTCTGAAACTATTTTGCTTCCCATCAATTCCATAGTAGCAGTGAAATCCCCAGTCTTGGAGATTACTGCAGTTTCTGATGATATGAATCCAGGAGAAAAATGTGCCCCACACTGAAGAAGTTCAGGTGTAAGACCACAAAGTCACTTCCACATCAAGTACCATGAGAAGATTAGTTCCCCGAGCTCCTGAAAGACAGAGGTCAACTCCCAGATGCTTGGACCACAGGAAAGTAGAAGAACATTGTTATCATGTTGGACTGAAAATCAGTGTCTCTGTTAGAAAGGGATCTCTGTTATAAGGGGTCGAAAGATAAGTTGTTAATTAGTAGAAAGGGAATACAGGAATTTTGAACCATGGCATACGTGTCTGCTTTCCCTGCTGCTTAATATCAGTAGTATAGCACAAATCTTTTGGATTTTGCTCTATAAATGCAACCGTGAGTACCACTCTATTTTTCTAAAATGTGCTCCTATCTGAGATTAAATCTATAGTGATCCTAGGATGGACATCTTTTCCATAACTACTTTTAGCAAATAGAGAAGAAAATCACAATAGGTTCAATGTATAAGAATAATAAAATCTATAATTAGGTTCAACTTATAAGAAAAATAACATTCTATATAATTAGATACGCCTGTTCCTTCATGTGATCCCATTCAACATTCCTGAAGAGGGAAAATATCTTTGGTTCATTTTCCTTACTCATATTGTCATCAAAACTCTTGAACAGAAACCATTTCGCTACAAATTCAATGAACAGAAAAAAATAAGTAGCCAACCTGATGGATCATGTGTTGGTGTGGAAGTCTCCGTTCCATTTTCTGTACATAAGAAACTGGTTGAGGACAAGTTGCTTGAAATGGAAACTGTAGATTCATATTCATATCTGTATGAATATAAGGAAAACATGTTATGGAATACATGATGACTGTGTGACTATTTTGCAGCATACTGACTCCTGCTTCACAAAAATCAAAACATTCAAATATGGAAAAGATTTCATCTTTGCCATTACCATAAGTTATCATCATCAAAAGAGCTTGCTGCTTACTGAAAATGTGTTAACCCTTTATAGTTAGCTTTTAATTGTTTGCAGGTAAGTTATACACCTTTAAGTTTGTTTAACAGCAGCCTTCTGTGATTTTTCTGGTGACTGTTTCCTGGAAATAATTAACTGTGGGATGGGGAACAAAAAGTAAGAAAATTAAGAGCCTCAGTAAAGTATAACTAAGAAGATAAAAGCTTTTGGGAAAAAACACAATAAAATAAGTATCTATGTTTGGATTTTCTGAGGTTTTTTTCATAAGAACAACCTCTACTTTCTGAGAATCCAAATAATAATTCCTTCATTTGTTCTTTAAATCCTAAGGGGAAAATAAAGGTTCCCATTGTAATAAGAAGCCTTGGGTGAATTTCAGTCACCAGCCTAATGTAATGACTTTCTTTTGTTATAAGAACAAAACTGTTAATAACTATAGATGTTTAATCTACACAAATTATCATAGAATCCACATGCCCTGTCTCAGAAAGTGAATTACATGTAAGAGGAGTAGAGGAAAATCTTTCTAGCTAAGTCTTTGTTAAGAATTTTGCTGTTTTTCTTTCTGTTTATTAGATAAGAGCCAAAATAAATTTGCCCTTCTGAGTACCACATAAATTAAAGAGTGTTATCTTTGGATGTCACTAATAGTGTTAATTTCAATACTATAGGACAACATCCAAAGGGACAAAATACCTTCCTCTTACATTTACCCACGGAGCTTGGCTCCAAACAAAGCCTTCTGTCTCCCTGCTCATGATTCTATGGGACAAAACAACTTCAAAGAAAACAAGACTTTGGCACAGAGTGGAAAGAGTTCAAATAATAGCTGAACATTACTTAACATTGTTTTGAGCAGAATAGGAAATAAAGAACACTAAAACTCTTTGCTTAGAAACTTCTGATCCCTTCAAAAATAATAGAGGATCCTAATTTGTTTATCTACTTAAAATTTATTTAAAGTTTATTTAATCTCAACACATCGATAAAGTGTCAGTACAAGGGTTTTAAAATGGAAAGGAAAAAGGAATAATTCACAAGGATGAAGAGAATGAGAAGATCTGACATTAAGAAAGATTTCAATAAAATTTGCAAAATGTGAAAGTACAAAGTAAATGGTCACTGAATCAGGAGAAATTAGAAATATAATCATTTCTGACTTCAGGAAAGCAAGAAAATTTATGATGTACTTTCCTAGAGAGCCTTAAACAAAATGTTATCAGGAAGTGGGAAAGATTCAAATGCTAGGAAATGTAAACATTTGATTTAAAGTGTATTTAAGGGATACTTCCCCAGAGACACCCACTACCCTTCTAAGTTTAAGAGTCCATTGAACCTAGAAGTCTAAACAGGTATGTTGAAGACAGGGCGATCAGAGTACAAAGTAAGGATATGAAGTTTAAAAAAAAAATCTACTAACAAAAAAAAAAAATTCCCAACTGTATCTAGCCAGTAGTTAAGCTTCTACTTTCCATGCAACAGAGAGAAGAATCATTAATTACTGGTTAGGACAAATTGCAGGTTTTACACAGTTCTAAGCCAATTAAAAACAGGTACTCCCTGCTCAATCACTCTGTGAACAAGTCCTCAGTTAAACAAGTCCTACACATGGATACAGAATTTCTGCTTACTTGACATTGTCAAATACAAATAGATAAGGAAGGACCAGATAAACATATAACAGTTAAAGACAGAGAAAAACAAAATACGAGTGAGAATAGAGAAAGAAAGCTTGCATGGGAAAAGGCATCGCATTCTTGGAAGAATAGCAAGTTGTTCCTTAATAGAAACATTCAAAGAACAAAAAAGTCTTTGAAAATTGAAAATATGATAATATAAATTTACAAACCATGATTTGGATGTTGAATCTCCCCAAAGGTAGCAAGAAAATAAGACATAAAACTAGAGAAAGATAGACTGGGGATATAGCTCAGTGGCAGGACACCTGCCTGACAAATATGGAGTCCTGAGTTCAATTCTGGGTAGGAAAAAAAAGAGAAAGATGTGTGAAAAAAAAAAAAAAAAAAAAAAAGAAACTTAGTTCAAGATGTCCAAAATTCAAATAGTACGAGTTCTACAATGAGAAAAACCAAGAAAATAGAGGGTAGCAGGAGATTGGTGGGGTGGGAGAGATTATAAAAAAGAATAATTAATACTTTTCCAAATGTCTAGATTGAAAGCATCTAGTATAGTGGATAAAAAGCAAAATATTAAGACAATTTTTGTAAATTTTAGACTTTGTAATTCCTGAAAAAAATTCTTGAAAAAAATTAGGTTATTTAACACTGTTTCCCTGAAATTTTGCCCCTTTCGTGTTTCCAAGATTTTGACAAACCAAAGGAACACTGAGAGAGGACAGGAGCTAGAAGGCACCGACCAGTATTCTCTGAGGGACATGGTGAACTGGGTAAATTAGCGTTCTTATAGAAAAAGCCTTCCTGATTGGGTGTGAAGGCAGCTTTTCTCAGAGTGATGGTCATAAAATGCAACAAGGCAAGTTAATAATACTTCTGCTGTGGGGTACAGTGTAAACCCCCCCATTAATAGCTATGTAGAGAGCAGAGCAGTGTGCAGTGCTATCTTTGAGCCAGACCCGATGAATACTTAAGCTTTCTGTAGGGATTGTCTTGTCCAACATTGCAACCCCGGACTTTCTGATGAGTAATTAATCCAGTCCATGGCTCTTAGACATTTCAAGTCCTTTCTGGTAACTTTTCAGTCCAATCCAGTTTCCTTAGAAACTGCTACTTCCCTACTAGAGAAAAGTAGTAAGTTGCTACTTTATCATTTCCTGGTGATGCTTAAATAATCCTTATTTCTCACAAGCCATCACTGTGTCTTCTTCTGTCTCTCTCAGCAATTTATGCCACCGCCCCACTACAGAGGGCTGTGGGCAATACAGGAGCTTAAAATAGAAACCCAGAGTCTCCCAGAGAAAGAACTTGATCACAAGAACAAGAATGACATAGAATTCTGCATGATGATAATAATGGAAACAAAGTAAAACCTTAAAAATAATGTCTTGAAAATCTCTCAGGAAAGTATTTCTAGGTATAATGTCATCCTAGCCATACTAGCAATTAAGCATGGGAGTAAAATCTTTTTCAGATGTATGATGTCATAAATCTTACACTTTTTCTCATAGTTTCTCAGAAAGCTAGTACTTTTTGTACACAGAAGAGTAAAAAAAAAAAAGAGGAAAGCAGAAGACAAAACACCCATGAGATAAGTAACTAAATGCAAGAAAAAGGTAAAGCAAATTCCAAAGCGTAATAATGAGGGAAAATTCCAAGGAACCAGCAGTGCATGGATCAGGAGAGTTCCCAGTTTATACAGGGGGCAATTGGAGGTGTATCTCCAAGATTAAAGTGAAACTTTCCAATCTGTACTGAGAAGACATTTGCCCTACAAAATGGTGAGGAATTAGTGAGTGATAGAAAGCTTTTAATAAAATGAAATTTAAAAATGAGGTAGTTCTTAAAATTCTCAGAAAAATAAATATTATATAACAAAGGAAAAATAACAGTATGACTCAGTGGTGAAAAACGTTGTCAGTCATAAAAATTAAATAGTGACTATGATTTTATAGTAGAAATTTAATATGTATTACCTAATTCTGGAGTATTAAAAGCTAATGAGTTAAAGAGTCAAATCTCTGGAAGAAAGGAAGAAAGGGAAGGTATCAATTCTTTCAATACAAGTTGATTTTTATAGTTTTGAACACAGATGGTTTGGGTAAAAATTAAAATAAAAATTAACGTTTGAAATGGCTTTGTCTTGGTGACCTACAATCAAACAAAATCTCTTGGAATTAAAAGTGATTAAATAGTCCTGAGCAAGGAGTAATCCCACATATCAGCAAGTCCTGAGAATCTTTTCAGCCAATTCACCTTCCTAAAAGAGGTATCCTGAAGTCCAGTTTCCTGAACTGGCAAAACGTCACTGTGTTGTGTTAGTGGAGAGGACATAGAAAAAAGCACAAAACGGGCTGGTGAAAGACATCACACTTACTGTTCCTTTTCCAGTGCTCTGTGATTTTTAGAAAGCATTGTTCCCAGAAAGAAAATTCCACCTCTCATTCCCTGTAGGTGCAAGTTGAATTCAAAATGTCACCTAAGACTGGAATACTTACCGGTCCATGAGAAAGTGAGGTAGAGATATTAAGAAACAACCTAATCCCATAACAGCACATCCAATACCAATCATTATAGGTCTATGCAGTTTAGTTCCAAAATAACTCACAAATATAATCAGCAAAAGATTTCCTAGAAAAAATGGAAAATATTCATTTTAGTATTAACAAAATCTTAATTCTCTCACCTAATCATCTACACTCTAGTTTTTATTGTATAACAACCATCTCAAATAATGGGATTGGTGCATGCACACATGAAAAAAATTACATGAACAAAATTCCTTGCACTAAATAAGGACTCTATTTCACAATGTTGATATTCACATAAAGACATCTGTGTAGGACTCTATCAATTAATCAGTGCAGCGGAAGGAATTCCATGAAAGAGGCTGAAGAACAGTTCTGGGACATACATGTAAGTTTTAGCATGTATAAGATATCTGGCTTCCCCTTTGATGCCTGCTCCACAAGACACGTTAGCATTTTATTATGCTCAAAAAGAGAAGGCAAAGTCAGATCTCGACACGTGCACATTTGTAAATTCATTATTCAAAGATACCTTTACTGTTCACATGACCAAGTCAAAGATCTACTTTTATTCTTAAGTCTTCCCTTAGATCAAATAGGTTAAGTTTTTAAAAAGGTGATCTCCCAGTTCTCCAACTGAGTCTTAAGTTAGATTAGAGTTGAAAAGTGCAAAACTCAATAAAATTTTGTCTCCATGTCTTAGGATACAGTTTTCTTAAAGTAAACTAATTGGGAAGCCCTATTCTGATGAATAGGCTCTTGATAAGCATAGGATTGAGCTGAAAGAACTCAATATGCAAGTCAGTTACCTGCAAGCCATCTTTAATTCAATGAACAATATTTACTTTGTTCCTATAATGTATAAAGAAAATCTCTGCGATGGGTTCAAGGATTATAAAAATTTCAAAAGCTATTTTCCTCAAGGTGTTCTTAAGTTTGTAAGTGGTACTGAATATTCTGGACTTGCCTTCTGCCAATCTCTTTTTCTCCCTAGTTTGTCTTATATATGGAAGATTTGCCAGTTTTTACATTATTTTGTATAGAGAATGCCCACTTTTCCATAGCTATAATTGCTACATTAGACTGTTTCTAAAATTCCCATCATCAAAATCATCTGTGTTGAAGTTGAAAATCTAGACAAATTTGAAAAGGGATCATTGAAATTATTTTTTCACCTCACTTCCCTAAGTGTCAGAAAAACAGTTACCACGAGAACATGGCAGAAGACAGGCAAATTGATGTAGACTACGGGAAACGTCACTTGGAAGGTAATACAGCAATGCATTTACTGGCACCTATAAACTATTTCTCTTTTTCCACAGAAACTATTTCAAGTTTTCAACACTGTCATGAAGTCAGCTGTCCCCATCAACTAGTGACAGAAATGGTTAACATTTTATACTTTGCAGAGAAATTTGGGGCAACAAATTATGACACAGTGACAAGGCAATATGAAGATAAATTCACCCCTAAGGGTGAATTTCTTTTGTTCCCATTTGAAATTCACGTAGCTTTTCAACTTCAGCAGAGATGCCTGTCCTGTGGCCTTACTGCCCGCCTTCAGTTTCAGGGGTGTAGGGTCCACTCGACTACCCGAGGCCATTCGCAACACCTCAGCACTGCCATATTCTCTATTAAATTTCATAAATAACTAAAACATCTCTTGTATATTTTAACTCTCTCCCATTCTGTTGAATTATTTTATGGGCATTCTCTAGTTTCTCTCCACATTTTGTAGAACATTCTTCAGTATTCACAGATCCCATTCCCCACTTCCTATTTTCTTCCTAATGTCACTGCTACCTCCAATGTTTTATAGATTCTAAATCTGCTACTCAACTAATGTGCCCTGCCAAAGATTATCAACATTTCTACAGTATAAAACCAAATAGCTTGCTATTCTGAGTCTAACTGCAGGCTTCTTATGTGTTTGGCATGTTGAGGCGTTCATTCTTTTAGAAATTTCTACTTTCTTAGTGTCTATCAGATATTCTATTATGATTCTTCTTTTATTTCTCTGAATGTTTTTTCTCTTAATACTTTCATGTGTTCTTTATCTTCAATCCATACATTAAATATTGGTATACAATAAACAGCCATTCTCTGTCTCTTCTACTTACACGACATCCTCTCTCAGGAATATCCTCTTCTTTCTAGCCTTAATAAGCACCTACGTACTTACTATTCTGTAACCCCAGACCAGATAATTTTCCATGTTTCAGACTCATATATAACTGCCTACAAACTAGAATACATCACTGCCAAAGGGTTCAAACATACTATCACAATTTTCCTAAAACAAAATTCATCAGCATTCCCATAATTCTATTACAATATAATGAGGTTATTTTATGCAATTAAAATATTCTTAGCTAATATTATTTTGAGATCATATGATATCAGATTGCATAAAGGGTACTGAGTACAGAAAGATTAATAATGTCTTCTAATCTTTAGCTACTGTGTCTCACCTAGAGGATAACTGATAAATTCTGTAGCAAGCCCACAAGTATCTCTCCAGTTTTCACCCCTGCTCATTCCTCCAAACTCTATGTGACAGCTGCCACCTTAAACTTTAACAACCAACAATATTGCTCTGAATACAATCTAGTGGGCTGCTTCACACTTGTGCTTCTCCTTTTATTGAAATATCCTTCTCATGTACTACCCTGTCATGGTTAATTTCAGTGGCTCCCAAGCCTCATGAATTATGGACTCAAACAAATCTAGCATTGTGATTGGTTCATTGTCTAGCACTTGGATTGGTAGTGTGAGTGCTACATTCACTTAGGGGTGGAGCCCAGATATAAGGGCGGGATGAAGGTGTATGTCTCTCTCTTGCCAGTTGGCACCTTGCTGTTTGCAGTGACCATGAATGGCTGCCCTGCCATGCCACGTTGACTTGGAGCCAACTGAGTATGGGCTGAAAACTCCAAGAACTGTAAAAAGTAAACCTTTCCTTCCCTAAATTTGGGCATCAGGTATTTTGTCTCAATAATGAGTAAAAGTAACTAAGACAACACCATTTCTTCACCTGGAAAACCTTTATTCATGCTTTTAGAGTCTGTCTTCCCTAAGTGAGGTTGCATTCCATTCTCTGGTCTTATGGGGCCTTATGAACATTGAAGGACCACTTGTACCACACTCAGAATTGTTCTTTTGCACCTATGCCCCTGGTGAGACTCTGACTCTAGTGTCCACCAGAACCGTCTGAGAGGTGAGTTCTAACTGTGCTGCTTGGTAAGCACTAAGTAATTTGAGGGACTTGGCCCTGAGGAGAGAACATCAGAATCACTTACTTCAGTTTTGCTTTTCCCTGATCATGATTTTGCTTTAGATTTTTGTTAAATACATTAAAGGAAACTTTTCCCTTGAAGGAGAACAAAATTACTCTAAAACTATAGAAGAATAGCACCAATATTTCTATGGAGATTTGTTTTCAAAGCAATCTTTCCTGCCTTGTGGCCTCACAAATTCCCAGTAATCTCCCCAAATCAGAAGCTAAGAGTAAACTTTATTCTACCCTAAATGCTGTTTTGTGAAATGATTTTAGGGAGCCAGGGAAGCAGTTTCTTTTTTGTTCTGAGTGCAGGAAGAACTGTCCCTCTCCCAGACAGGAAAGGAGAAGACAAATACTTGCTTTTTCCTTGAGAATATAAATTCGTCTGGTCTCCCTCAGTTCTTTCTGAATACAAAGATAGAGACCTTAATTTCCTTTAGACTTATCAAATTATAGTTTTAAATATAAATTAAGAGCTCTGCCACTTATGGCAGGTAGATAAGAAACTCTTAAAATGAAAAGGAAAACAAAAGGTCGGATACAAGATAATATTCAGTTATTAATATGAAGTGATACTAGAATTGTTTGTAAGCATATTCCAAGCTTAGTTAGATAATTCAGTTTTAAAAGATATATAAATAACTCAGACTAAAGTGCTCTAATGCAATAGAAAGAACAAAATTCAGATCAGCTCCATAGATAAAACAGGATATAAAAAGAAGTAATGGAAAAATAATTCATTACCAATCTCAAAGCTCCCATTAATAAATCCAACTAGAGATGTCGGGATATTGAATTGCCTTTCTATTTGTGTGAGCATGGAATTCATGTAAGATCCAGATAGTGTTTTGGATACATATGCACATGTTAATGCCAACAGAAACATCTAGGAAGAAAAAAACCACAATAGTTATAAATATTTTGTATCTAAATCATATATTTAGCATCTATTGATAAAATATACTCTAAAGCAAGACATATTCTGGCCCAATTTAGGAAACTCTTAAAACTTGCAGGAAACATGAGAGGTTTTCTGGTCTGTCATTACGTCTTTTTCTCTCTGGGAACTCAAAATAGGATTGATTAGTGGGAGTGGATTTTATAGGCAGCTCCAGTTTGATCATTTTATGTGCACATTTTGTGCACACCGATGAGCAGGCATTTTAAGTAGCACACAGCTGTGGATGCCAATAGATCTTCAGTACTACAATGCACTCTGTAGTGCAAATGAATACATACACTCATTAAAAACACAGTGTGAAATTACATTGTTTCCACAGCAAATCCGCTCAAGATTACTGTGGAGGAGGAGAGGGCCCCAGAGGACCATGGTCAACTCCCCTCTTCCTCCTCACTTGGAATTCTTGGGCACAATGTGCTACGTGCACAGTAATGGATCAAATGTCCAGAACAATCTAAACTACACCCTCACTCTTCCCAGAACTGAATGTTCCATACACTTAAGGTCAGCAATGCAAGTGCTGCTCTTGGATCTAAACCGAAGAGCACTTTTGGGGTTCCTCAGCTGTGGCACGGAGCAAGACCTACATACAAATGAGACTCCTTCTAAGCCTGGGTGGCTTTTCTGAATCTTGGGGGAACAACTCACCATGAATCCTAAGCATCTGCTTACCCTTACTGCTTACCTGTGAGTAATAAGTTTGCTTTACCTGAACTGTTGTTACATTCCTGTCCACTCTGATTTTCCTCTGCTTTGCAAGTAAAATAAAATCCCTTCATCCTTACTCTTGAAAACATTTTCTAAATTTATAAAATCCTGGTCAATCAATTATTGCCCCCTCTCTTCTGTTTTCAATCTCACAGTTTTTACTTGTTGGTACCTCTTCCCTTTATTAATATATTCAACTCACTACTGCCATTACATCCCTGCTTTTCAATGGCTCATCTATATGTAAGCTTCATTTCTTTCTCTTCCTTCTTCCTCTCCTGTTTGGAAGAATAATCCATATTCACTGCATACATTTTTTAATGTTTCATTCCACCTTCAGTCTGCCACAATGTGTTTTCTGCTGAAGTTACAATATAATAAACATAAACACCTTCAGGATTTTCAATTTCAGAAAAAATTGCTCAGTTATTAGCTCACTTCACGTCTCTAAGTCATTTGCTACTGTCTGTCCATCTATATCTATATCTATCTATCTATCTATCTATCTACCTCTCTGTCTGTCTAATAAGACTATTCATTTATTTTTTATTAGTAGATTCTTGCAATGCATAATGTTTACATTCCTTGTGGGTAGTTGGTACAAATATATAAATTTTTTCTCATCCTCTTTCCCTCTCCTCTCTCCTCTTCCTTTTGTCTCGTGTTCCCCTTTTCGTTTCTCCTTCTCCTGAAATCCTTCTTCCCATACTTCCCTACATCTCCACTTACCTGTTGGATGTTTCCTATTGAGTCCTCTCTTCTTTGTCCAATACTTTCAGGCTTTTATTGTGTATTGTACTTTTCCACCATGCATATTTTGCTTAGGAAATCACACTTATTCCCATAACTGTAACCACCACTCACATACCAAAGTTACTCAACACACAGATTAGCTTAAACAATCGCAGTCACATTTAGTCACCTCTATGCTTATCTGCCCCTACTTCTCTTTAACACGCCATCATCACCAAGTTGCAGCTTATGTGTCAAATGAATTAATAAAATGTGTAGCATGTGATATCACCTTGAAAAGCTTTTAGCAATTACCATTACTTCCCTGCTTTTCAATGGCAAACAAAGGCTCATCCATATGTAAGCTTCATTTCCCGCTCTTTTCCCTAGACCTAATGTTCTGCTTGCAGTTTTGTAACTCACTATGCTATTTTGCATTACAGTTACTTTTACATGAGGCTCATCTACAGAGGCTCATCTACCTATCTTCATATAGAGCATCTTGTAATTTTCAAGATTCAGTCATTCTTGAAAATTACATGATTCAGTCATTCCATTGTGAAGCCTTCCTGTCCCTATAATACCAATGTAGCCTTGACCATGGGTTCCTCATTTTTAACATCTACTATGTGACTACCTTGATGTTGGCCCCTATCTCAATGCACTTTATTCAGATATCTGGGTGTTCACAATGTCTTCCTTCTGTACCCCGTAAACAATTCAGAGATAAGAGCCACCTGTTATTTACTTCTGTGTCTTCAATGCCTAGTAAGTGCCTGATGAGTAGTTGTCTCCTAATTATTGACAGAACAACTATCAGAAACATCTGGAATAGCAGTCAGTGCTGGAGACAAGGTAAAATTTAATGGAACCAAATGTACTCTCTTCATCCATTTGGACTGCTATAATAAAATATAATCTGGGTGATTTTAAAAACAGACATTTATTTCTCACAGTTTCAGAGGTTAGGAAGTCCAAGATCAAGGCATTAGCAGACATGGGGTCTCGTAAGGGCCTACTCACTGGTTCTTGGACTGTCATCTTTTCACTCTGTCCTTATACGGTGGAAGAGGTGAGGGGTCTCTCTAAGTTCTCTTATAAAGACACCGATCCACTCAGGAGCATTCATCCCTGTGACCTAATCTACTTCAAAAGGCCAGTTACCTACAGTAAGCCCTTTGGATTTCAACATACAAATTTGAGGGAATCACAAACTATAGCATAAGCTTCTATGGAATACTTAGAAGGAAAATTCAAATTTTGTGATTGTAAAACACGTTTGAATGTATGAAAAAAGAATTTGCTCTATAATAGTCAAAACTACCAGAACAACCAACAAATGGGCAATTTCTTTGGAAGGTCCAACTCTTGTATTGTCAAAATCTGAAGAAAACACTTGCTTTACTGAGTCATTGTCAGTCTTTGCGTACTAATCAACCAAGCTTTTCTGCCCAAGGAGTTGTGTTCTAAGAATGACTGGCGTATTTCTCTGTATTAGAAACCTCTCAAGGGTGAGCAATGGATTGATCTTGGTTCCTTAGCAAATAAGTTTTCACACAGTATTTTATGTTCCAAAAATTTTAAATTCTTTCCTTGCATAAGTCCTTCAATACCATGTCTGATTAAATTGCTTATATACTCAATAATCCTGCTTAAACACAACCTCATTTATAAAGTCAACTTTCTTACAGCAAGAGATTATCAGTGGATCATATAGTATATTAAGTTTAGAATACTTTGTGTAGATAGAACCCTTGTATAGGGACTAAGTTAAGTACCGCACACACGCACACACACACACACACACACACACACACACAGGTGCGCACGCAAATTCCATACCTTCACCTTGGAAAGACACCTTATTCTATGAGTTTCAATCCTTTTCTCAGTGTTTCCCATGTTGTTCTTCTGATTCTTCCAAGATATTTATGTTTTAAATCTTGATATTTCTTAGTTCTACCTTTTAAGGAAACAAAGATCTCATAAATCGCTGACAATGTATAAGTTGTCAATCTTTTGATTTGCATATAGAAAACAATGATTTTCAAAAACATTCAGTTGTTTGAATTTCATCAAAAAGTTACTTTAACTATAGTTAATCATTAGTGAGGTTAAAGTTGTTCCCATAATTTTTGTACAGTCACTTTGCAAAAAAACACCTACGTGATTAAAACAAACTTTTTCATTTTGTTAGCCAAAACAAACAGAATCAAAGTGAGCTCTTTGGCATTACATGAAAATCCTTGCTGTAAGAATACAAAGACTTTGGTTTGTGTTTGTGCTAAAAATCTGTTTCAGCAGCCTACAAAGACTCAAAACTTTCCAACTGGCTACACATTTCTCTTCAAGTTCTTTGCATTCCAATACTTCCCTCAGGAGTCTCAGGAAAGGAAACGATTCACTGAACCTAAAGAGACATGGAATTTTAATCACAGATTAGCCTAAGTAAAAATAAATAATTTTATGTTCTGGGGAAGAATCCTACAATTCCAATTTATAAGATGAAAGGCTTGGAAGAAGATCAAGCTTATACAAGGAGGTATGTGTGCTGTGTGCATGTGTGTGTGAATATAAACAATTACACACTCACACACAAACACATATAGATGTAAAAGTGTGGATACATATATATCTAAGAATATACAATACACGGGCACAAATATTTAAGTGGAATACAGAAATATGACTGAAACTATTAAATTGTACTAACTAATCAAAGATTTTATCGAGTTTGTGTCTTGAAAGGACAGTATTTAACACCAAAATAAAATATTTTATTTGCTAAATCTATTTCAAGTTATCAGTGTTGTAATAAATCTTAACAGTATCTTCTGCATTACTATATTGAAAGCCTCTGAACAATGTCACTCATTTAAGTGATCCTGAATAGCACTACTTTAAAAAACCTATCTGATCTCTCTAAATGTGTTAAATTCCCAACACAGGCACTGAGGCACTCAACACAAAACACAGTTCTCTTTACTCATTCTCTTACAGATAAAATACTGTGTATTCAATAGCTACAATGTATGTGCTAATCATTCTGCTAAGCATGGTAATTCAGTAGCGAAGGAGGCAGTGAACTTGCCCTATAAAGGATACAAATTACTTAGAGAAGTATAAATCTCTGGGGAGGGTTCTTGGACTTAGAATACTAGGAATTTCTACAGGTAAAAGGTAAAATTTTTAAATAAAACTCTGCAATTGAATCAGACAACACATGATGAAATACAAGTTGTTTGGTATGAGGGTGGAAAAAAAAGCAAAGGTTATGGGTAGAAGTTGTAAAAATATTCTTGTCAATTCCAAGTGACCATATGAATGCAGCCATGCTGAAATCCCTCTTTAAAATATCAGTTGGCCTTAACTGTAATACAAATAAATGTCAGTTGTTTTGGTAAAACTGATAGAATCAAATGATTTTTCAACTGAGTAGAAATTGATATATTGATAAACTTATTGTTGGTATAAGTTATAAACCTCTCAACTTAGCTCACGTCTTTCTCCCATCACATTTAGAAGACAATCTCTGCCCTGAGATTATCTATCATGCTTGCCAATATCCGACCTATGTCACGCTAACAAATATAAGGGAGAGAATGTATTTTCCCATGTCAAAGTTGCTTGCAATTTCAACTTTTTTTTTTTTTTTTGGCTTTTTGATACAGGGTCTTGCTATGCAATTCAAGCTGGCTTGAACACATGACAATCCTGCCTCGGCCCCCCTCAATGTTTTCACTTTTCTAAGCAGCTAAAAATATGCCTATTCTAGATTATTTTTCATATTATAGTCATAGAGCATAAAAGCAGGTAGTAGTGCCCAAAACATCATCACATACTGAATTCTATGGTTCCTTCCATGAATGACAGTAAATAACCATCTAGAATGAGCTTTGTCACCATATCTGGAAGATTTGTTTTGATATTTTTACTGTACTGAGAGATGTTTCATAAACAACTGTCTTAACTTGAAAATAATTTGATGTGAATAAATTCACTCTAATATTTTTCTAATTTGCCAACCTATGCCATGAAAACATTTTACCTCCTTAGATGTACCTTAAACATTTTCATAAAGGAAAAAAACGTGAGTGACTCAAATTTACTCCATGTATTCTGCAAAATTCATGAAGCCGAATGCTTTGTATCACAGCCCATGTTGAACAAGCCAACCCCCAAAAAAGACTGCATGTGGGACCAGTGCCAAACACCTGAACAGAGCCCTTTTGTTAGCCCAGAATTGTTTACTCAGTGACTTCAGCTCCTGGGATCACCCAGAATCACCAGCAAGTCCACATCAGTCATTACTGCTAATGAAAACAACTTGCTAAAGCTTTATTAAGTGGAGAAGTGTCTCATTTCTCTAACTCTTAAGCACTGAAAGGGGAACAGGTGATTCATCACAATGCTTTTGCTCACAAACAGAGCTGAGTTTCTCCCAGGGTAACCTGTCACAGCCCTTAAGTTGTTCTGTTTTGTTTGTTTTACCGTGATAAAACAAAACAAAACAAAAAACTCAAGCAAATCTAAAGAAAACAAAACAAGAAAATCCTCAAAGAAGAGAAAAATCATCCCTCTTCACAAATATTTAAGTGTCCTACAATCCAGCATTATTGACTAGATCAATACACATTATTTTAGATCAGATCTCTAGAACTTTTCTATGTTGTGTGACTGAAACCCTACATCAGTAAAGTGTAACATTCTCAAATTTTTGATACTCCCTGGTTGCCAGTACTGAAGATGTATCAATCACAAGAGAACGCAACATTAAAAAATGAATAAAAACAGTTTTTTATACACTATATTGACAAGTTTGTGACTAGAAATCAGCTGATAAAAATACAGCTGTTTAAGTTCACCTTATTCCATACTATTGAGATAGTGAAATAAAGGCTTTACTTTATAATGGTAAAGCCAGTAGTACATACATGACGAAGACTTAAGAGATGATCCTTTCCCTGGGATAAAGGCAAAAATATTACAAAGATCAAATACAGCATTTTCACAGTCTTCAAATAGCCTCTAGCTCTCGGAAGAAAGAACAGTGTCTTGGGTAGCATCCAGCTGAAACACTTTCAACCAATAGCTAACAGGCAAGTGTGTGCCAGTGACAACGTGTACAATCAACAATGACTTTTTGTATGATGGGTAGCAAATTACTTTATTTCTATTGGTTCACTTCTGTCAGAGATCAAAAAAGAAAACAACGAATTCTGCTTATCAGCCTTACAAATACAGATTTTATTTTACTTTATGTATTCTGAAGAGGTACTAGAATTGCATCAATCTAAGGAAAACTAGGGGACAAATGGCTGGGCATTTGAATATTGCCTATTTGATTTGCATAGTGAAGTGATTTCACTATGCAAATCAAAGGCTAGAACACAGGCAAAGTCCTGGTAAAAATGCATTACCTAGCTTGTTACTTTGTATGGGTGCTATCTAACTGTGGCCCAAAACACAGAGAAATGAAGTTGAAGCTTACATTTTGTCCATATATAAAACTCACAACTGTTTGTCAGTTTCATCGAAGTTGTATCCTCTATTGCAATACTAGAGAATGATTAATTATAATTTAAACATTTTAATTAGAAGTAACCAGACATCATCTTTAAATTTAGTCAGACTCCTGTAAGTCCTCGATGTCCTAACTTTGTTGTTCAACCATACATTTTCTAAATGGAGCGAAGAAGATTTGTGTTAAGCTGGTGTAGAGAAGACTCCTCATACTTGACATCCAAGCACCTCATTCTTTGACCAAATTCCTCATCTCTTATCATCCCCAGGTGAAGTTTGATTACCCAGAAGCCTTTGTAAGAGTTCTGTCAAGTTGAGTGAGCTAGAATTCTCATCACCACCCTGAACATTTTCTCTTGGTAATTTTCTGGTCACCAAACACCCTATTTTTTTTTTTTTTTTTTTACCTATAAACGCACGGTCTTCAGACTTGGATCCAGATATTCTGTGGTTCTGCAATGGTTCCTAAATCAAATCTCTTTTGATCACTTGACTGTCTAACTCTAGTTCTTCTCTGAAAGCAACAAGAATTTTTAATTTCGTCAGATCACTGTTTCAATTATGATTTCTTTGTTTGAACAGACAGATTTAGACACAAAATATGTATACATTTAATTGATGGGAAGTAATTACTGAATTCCTTTTACTTTACAGAGAAAAGACTATTTCTTAAAAAATCAAAAATAAATGAAAATTCAATAAATTGTTTAGATTTTTCCCAATATATTTGTACATTTTAGCCATATTCATGAATATTAGGAAGTAGCAACATGGCCAGAATGTCAGATTTTTAATTCAATTAATCCCAGATTCGTTGTGTCATTTCCAAATTCTTTCTGCCCATTTTTCTTTCTTTGTGATGTCCCAGAATACTTATTTATGTCTGCTTTACAAGATTCTTATGAAGATTGATTTGTAGACTTCACATTAGCCTCCTAGCTTGGTGTTGGAATAAAAGTCATTCTGTCTATGGCAGTGATTATTATTCATTCATTCCACAAATATTTATTAAGACTCTACTGCATTCCTAGCACAGTAGTAGGTGCTAGGGATAGAAAGATAAATAACATGTGCTTGCTTTCATGTGGTTTCATAAGCTATTGGGAAATATAATTAATTATATCAGAATAACAGTTATTGCTATATGCAGACAGTTGGAGCTAGGCAGTAGGAAGAGGAGATTAATGAATACCTTTCACCTGTACATGCATTTGATCAGTCATTGGCTGCAGCATGGCAGTTTTAAGTACTTGGGTTTTGAAACTGAGTACAAGTTCAGAAAACTGACTTTAAACTAGCTGGGTGGTGATAGGAAACAGAGACATAGATTTTGTAGAGAAGGGAAAGGGATGTAGGGGTGGGCAGAGTCAGGAGGGTGGGTAGGGAAGGGAAGTAAAAATGACCACGGTGTGCTACGTGTGTGGGCTTACTCTCCAAGAT